GCGAATTAAACAGATTGAATGAGTCGGTAAGTAGATGCTGCATTGTTGTCTTCTGCTGCGCTTGCGGGCATGGAGAGACAACAGCCTACCGAGGTCTGCTCGCGACGACTGCAAGTTTGCGACCCTATCACGGTTGCCAGTGCAGATACATGAGGCACTGTAACGCACCTCCCCAAATGGAAAGAGACTTGCAAGCGGCTTGCAGTATTCATGATGCGCCAATTATGTTGCGTCGAGACCAATGTGATCGCAAAGGTGACTACCTAGGTACCCAACGTGCTTAGCGCACCTGACTTGTTGCTAACAACGCCAACACGTTATTTGGCATATGTATCGAGGGATGGTGCCATGAAAGCCCTAGGCCATCTTTACACTCATATCATGTACTATCGAACTATGATGTGGTTGAGCGCGTGAAATGTCAACGTTGATCGGACGTAAACACCGTCTGCCGCCACCACTGCTTCCACCCCGCACGACTCCCGAGCGACAGATGAAGAACGAAGTATCGCACGCACTTCATCTTCTCCTTCTAGATTCACGCGACGCAATGTTAACGTTGACATGGATAGTAGCATGTTCATGGGGTATACTGGTCAGCCATGAGGCCGATCTGGTCCTATGCCGGACTTCCAAGGCCTTTCGAGTCAGTAGTAGTAAGGGTCATGCCAACATATAGCCATCTTCAGGGACATCTTGCCCTTGAGTAGATCTATCACGCCGTATATATAGTCAGAAACCGACGAATCGGTGCGTTCAGAGAGCTGATTATCTCTGTAGTGAAGTCATCACTTCCAAGGTTCTTATGTTCTTTGGGGACGTCACAGGTGACAACAAAGCTAGACGTACTGCCATGTCACTACCGACTCGCACAGAACCGCAGCTATTTTCCATCACTAATATCAGGTGTGATGAGAGCTCCGCTAACAAAAGGAGACTCATCGATAGTACAAGCTACCAGTAGTTAGGACGAAGGCAACAAACAATCCCGCCAGCATCTGTAGGCGACTCTGGCCCGTGGAAAAAGGGAGAATCTACAGTCCGTATGGTGAACAACGCGTCGAAATGACCAAGTACAGAACACATGGATCTGGCCATCGAGCCTGAGTGGAAAGAGCTGGACGACACAAAAGGTACCTAGGTAGCACTTGCTTAATGCACGAAGAATTCTGCTAAATCATTCTCCATAGAGTGCATTAGTCAGGAGAAGACGGGACATTGTATTTAAATATTTTTTTGGAGGTAGGTGGGTAAACAATGTTAGAAGCATTTGTGTACGGCCCGGGCCGGAGGGAGGGGGGGAGGGTTTAGTCACGTAGATGTCGCTATATGAGAGTTAAACCGCGCGCAGACACTGCATTAGCTTATTAGCACTGCATAGACGCTCTGTTAACATTACTATAATACTATTCTAGCGCAATAAAGCGACCTCTACTTGACTAAAACCCCCCTCCGCGCGCTGTAGTATTGTAACCTGTCTAACAGAGTCATCGCAACCGCCCGAACCGTACTCATGTAAGACGAAGTGCTACTAATATGCACCAAAGCATGTCATGAGTCACAGTAGTCAGACCAGTCCATGCTTTCCGCTGGCCACACGCCAGACTCATGCCCAAGCATCGATCCCTCCGATAATCGCGCAACTACAGCCACTGGATACTATATTCGCACTGGACACGGTAAGAAAGACCGCGGTCTGATCGAGCCAGTAAGAGCAGACTATATCTGCCTTCTGGTTGCTAGGAGCTGCTATTCGCAGCCCTTCCCCTGCCTATAGGAGCTCAAGACGGCGGAATGCTCAGCGCACCACATCAAGACTAGAAACTTATATCGATCCTGCAATAGCATGATTCCCAGCGTAGTTTGACCTACTAACTATTTCGTGTATGTTGAAACAGTCTAGCACAGCCCACCCACATAGTGCCAAGTTGACCAACTAGCTTTGAGACGACCTGGGTCGCACATACGTCCATTATTACATCCACAAGATCATGGAAGCTCTAGAGTCAAAGCTCATTGAGCATGGTCAAGCTCGTATTGCTCACTCACATCTCCCTGCCAACAATCTGGTCCTAGTAGAGTGGATGAATGACCGTTTCGATGGACTGTGGACCTCTCCCTTGTCTCGTCAGAACCTTGGAGCGAATGCAGGCCAGGACAAATCGAGAGAAAGATAACCCCGACAATACACAGGTATTGACTAGACAACACGGGCATAACTTACAGCGACCATGGTCTAAACGATGTCCAATGCGGCGTGTGTCCTGGCCAGTGCATGAAGCCATTTCATGGCAATCGCCAGATCAATGCATAACTCTGCGCTTGCTCAGCCCGTAGCCCCGGTAGGAGACGCTATGACCAAGAATAGGCAGCCACCTCACGAAACACTTGAAGCTTTGGCCACCGCTGCATAGCCTTACAGATTGACCGGGGTGGCGTAAAGGCGTCAGGCTGATATTTGAGCTACAGACTATGCAGCTCTGGTTGCTCTAGATTTAAACCTTCCTGGTAAACAAGGCCGCGGCTGGGTCTACTAAGTTTCTACAGATCTGCATGTCGCGATTGAGCGGCATGCTGAACACGGGGTGTATATATGCGCGTCTCTTCTCAAGGACCCGATCAGCGGGCTGGAAGTCCGCAGTGTCACACCGTAGAGACTGTGCGTCCAAGGCACCTTCAACCCTTCCGCTTTCTCCGTCCGCGGCGCCAGGGGATCTCGGGACGCAGAATCCTTCACATTCTGATTGGATAGGACCAAAGCTGTTGAGTCACGCTCGAGCCATCAATCCATGGGTAATGAAATCATTTTGGAGGCTCCCTCTGGTTTGGAAACTCATAGCATGCTCTAGACATCGCTTGGCACGATGCCGGTACAACCGTTTGCCACGGCGTTTTATCATGAACATCAATCGGAAAGCATGCGATCCAATCAGAGATGCAAATCCGGACGGCGTTATGAAAGTACCAAGAGGTGCCGTTCCACTTTTCTTCACACTGAATGATGCATCGGGCGCCGGCGGGTCGATTGCGGCTTCACCTTGCAATCGCCAGACAGTCCATGTTCAGAAACGTTATGTGATTGTAACCTAGAACCTTCCTACTCCACAAGTTCAACTTCACGAAACACCTCTATTGAATGTACCAATGTGGAAAAGAGAGAATTTGAGGAAATTAGCTCATTATAGGCCACCGTCATTGACTTACTCACTCTGTGCCAGGTTTGAAGGCGGCAGCTAGGGAAAAGGAACTTCGCGATGCAGGAAGCAGTTTCCCTTCCCGGTTTGCTGGCCATCGAACAAAGAATTTCAAGTCTCTACCGATTATCTCGATCTGGAGGAGCACCTCTACGCGGATCTTCCATTTTTGCGTACACAACCCTTTTTCTTTGTGGACTTTGACATGATGCTCTTTGAGATCGGTCACATCAAAGACAACCTTGCCTAGCTGTGTAGTCTTGCCTAGAAGTATTACATGAGCGTTGTGATATATTGTAGTAATGAGATACTCACTAACCTTTGTTGTGTTTGGATGTGCGCTGCCAGTAGTCCTCCGTGCAACTGTCCGAAATGAAGAGAACCTCTTCTCCTTTCCAATACCTTTTTTTCTCCCAAAATAGATGCCGGACCACAACCTCTACTCGGTGTACGCGCGGGATCACATCGTGGCCCTGAGAGAAGAAGTCAGCCTACGTGATAGACGGCATGTATGGAGCTCATGCGTACTCTTTTGATCATCCACAGAATCGTGTTTTTAATGACATATTCCCCTTCTCCATCCTTTTGTGCTTTCTGTTTGGTGATACATGGATCTGTGGAGTCTTCTTCCCAATTGATGTGGCGGTACAGCCCAATACTCTGGGTCGGAATACGTTCCGGCCCAAGTTGTTTGTTCTGTGCTCGTATGATCGCGCCTATGGCTATCGCAGAAGCTCCTTTATTACTATTGGTATGAGTTAGCGATGATAGCGCCAACACGACAAGCCTGTTTCCAGTGCAAAACGTACGCGAGAGCGAACTTCATCTCAATCACCAAGCCATTCTTGTGGTTGTATTCGTTCAACCATATTCGAAGGTACTCTCTCAAAGCTGGAGAATCCCCGAATCCGCCAAGCACGACAATTGATTTAACGACAATGTCTTTAAGTCTGGCGGACTGAATCTGATCCACGATGAGATCTCGGATGGTCTCCAAGGAAGGTTCGAAAATGCTCCACATGTCGTCGCTTGGTTTATCAGCGGAGAGGTTCTTGCAATGGAAAAGGTAGTGCACTTACTAGTTCAACACGTAATCCCCTTTCTGTATGCGTCGGTTGTTCTGAGATGCCTGGAGACCCAGGATCGGATATCTGAAGCGTTGGGATCTGTCACGCCATCGAAAGGACCTCTTGTGTTCGTTCTCGAATGCCGGCATGATGAATTCATCGACAATGGTTTCGATAGTTCTATCTGTCGTGAGATATCCCTGGTCGCGAAGATCAAGCAACGCCCTCGCTCGCATTCGCTCATTGAGGTCGCTCGATCCACACATGGCCCCTGAGAAGTCAGTTCCCGTTTCTCAGTTATTTCTCAAATGGTGATTTACCAGAAGGAGGATTTATCTCCCTTTCGAGGCGCAAGGGTTCAGGTTCCGTTGTTCGATATAGACCAAGGTCCGTCGTACCCCCACCGCTGTCGACGAGAAGAAACACTCCCCTACGCTGATCAAGTTAGCATATTTGTCTTTTCCACTGGAATGTATGTAAGTACCTTGATAACACCGTCACGCCAACTAGAATCAAGTGCGTATGAAGCTCCTGCCTCAGCTTCATTCACCATGAATAGGTTGACTGAGGAACCACGTTGGTCATGGATAACCCCGAACCCAGACTCTCTCATCGCTGTTTCGATGCATTTACTCATTTTAGCATTTGCCATGGTGCTCCAGCAGACTGGTACAGAGAATGTAAGTTCAACTAAACTCGGGCGTTAGCAAGAGCGATGGGAAACTGCCAGGCTGCACTGTCACGTACCAGAGTTACCATCGTGGAAGCCTTCAGCCATTTCCAGAGTTCGCTTGATGTGGCGGAAATAATATTTCAATATGTGTCGTATGATATCCTGCTCAGAATCTATCAAGTGATGGGCTTGAAGTTTCTGTATTCCCTTCGCAACTTCGCTTTTAGCATCTTGAGTCCAGACACAACCCGTGTCGTCAAGGAGCAGCTTCATTCGTTTGATGTGAGCTATGACTGCGTCGTCGGGTTGTGACTCCTCTAGCCAGCGTTGTGCTTCGTAGCCGTGTAGTCTGGAAGCAGGGCGATAGACACTTTCCGTTGGGACTTGTCTCCCATTGGAATGATGACAGCGATCTCCATCCCACTGATCAATGGTGTTGATCTCTCGTTCGCCCTTTCTAACGAACGCGATGCTAGTATATGTCGTGCCAAAGTCGAGCGCAACACGATAGTCGGGCTCAGTGAATTGGTCAGTGACCATGGCTGATGGCTGTGTAGCGAAGGGTGACTGGTGTGCAATATTGTGAGCGCCTCTCATCCTTTTTGCAGAAGCCCCCAGAACGGAATCGTTGGAATCGGAGTCTGACATGTTGGATACCTGCGGGACCAAGCATGGAGGGGAATTGCATCGCCTCTTGGGCCGTCTTTTATTGAGTGTTACAAAGTTCTCATTGACTGGACGTCTGAGGATTCTTCCCGCCCTTGACGATTTGGAATCCGACATGTCTCCAGCCATTGCGTCTCGGAGGTGATGGACAGCAGGTCCCGTTCATGAGAAGAAGTAGATAAGCCTATCAACTTTATGGGAAGATAGTCTAGTAAGCAATCATACTAATAGTCCCGCTATGTCTAGGTAGAGTATCATCTTCGCTTAGACATTGAGCGGTGTCCTCATATGTAAAGCTTCGGCAAGGTTGGCACGCATATCATAGCCGCGTATGCACCATGGGCGTCTGACACGTCAATAGGTGAATACGATACGCCACTCGAGCTCGGACCGATGGTCATGAATGGTCTTATGCATCTCTTCTCGGTTCTCAAATTTATCCTTGTTGACAACTGAGACCCTTCGACTGCTACCTAGGTATCATTGAAGCGGCTGTCTCTGGACAATGCATGATGCAAGTCAGTTCTTAATGTTCCAAAAATCTGTATAACAATCGCTCTTTTAGTTCTGTGATAAGGCTGCATGTTGGATTATCTTGCTCGGATCGCCGTGGCGTAGTTGAATTCGCCTGAAACAAGGCAACCGACAAGCACCCCGGCTGATCAGGGGCTAACATTGGTCAACGTCGCTACATTGCCAGGGGTAACGTTGCAGAAGGATCCGCGAGAAAACTATTACACCGTTTAGGCTTATCACTTCAGTTACGTGCCTCGCCTTCGTTTAGGCGCTCGTCCTTCTCTTCTGTGTTGCCAAGAACACCCAAGTATTTTCTTCTTTCTGCCCGCTTTCTCGATTTTCGCACCCCGTTCCCGATCGAACTCTGTTCACAGTCTTGTATTCTTGTTACATATCATATTGTATCGTCGTGATGAAATACTTTAAATGGTCAAACGACGAAACAGTGGTGGTGTTGAATCACATTGATTGGTGCCTTGACAACAAAAAGGATTACTGGCAGACGATACACAGCAAGTTCAATGAGGAGACCGGTCGAGTGCCTGATGAGTCGCAGATTGTGACCCGTCTCAAGTATATTTGTCAAAAGCAGACCCCAAGAATCGATTACAAGCATTTGATCGACCGCGGTACTAAGGTACTGGAGGACGCCACGATCGCCGGGCCCATCTTAGAGGCCATCAAACATGGTAGAGACAATCTGAGCCTTGGTGTCTCGGGGAAACGTAGAAAAGAGATTCCACCATCGCAGGCCGGCTTATCGCAGGTAAGTACATATAAGGATGCTTCGAGAATGTCAATTGACGTTAAGCAGCACGGCAAACAGCAGAGAAAGAAGAAGCGTCGATTGACTAATGACTGCAATTCGTTTCATGATAAACCTTCTGGCTCAAGAGAGAACAGTCGTCCCGTCACCAATCACAGCGTGGTCGATCGAAAACGAAAACGTGCAAACAGCGTATCCTATAATGACAACGCGTCCTCTCTCGAGCTTTCCAAACCCGAGACTGTAACATTGGGAACGACGACAGAATCCGACCTACCAGGGCAACTCCGAAGTTCGGAGTCGGAAGATAATGTTTCGCACATACACAAACGACTGGAAGCCCTTGAAGAAGAAGTCAAGTCACTGTCTGCACTGGGACAGAACACAGAACGAGCATTAAAAATGGCTATCCATTGCATAACTTGGGTCTTCCGGGAGCAGGTTGGACCTAAGAATAAGATACCCAACGAGATCTTCTCGACGATGGAGCTTGTTGAAGGGACCATCAAAGATGATCCGAGCGATGCTTTCGTCAGACTTATCAAGGACTTGCAGCAAGCGAACGTCATTCGCCAGAAGTATCAAGAGATCGTCAGTGATCTGATTGGGCAACGCAACTACGGGAGAAAGGTAGAGTATCCACCACTGCCTCTTCCATCTGAGCTCGCTGAAGATTGGCGTCGCATTCGATCACCACTCAAAGACACCATGGTGGTCAATGTAGCACCTATTTCGCGAATAAACTTGGCTATGACTGGCTCTTTCTCGAACACACATCTGGCGAATCTTGCCAACCACCTGGAGGGTGGAACATACGAAGCACGACCGTGGATATCTACACGTCATGTGTATCTGGACAATCCGGCCGCAGCGCAGCATCTACTGGCAGTTGCTTTATGTCAGTTGCTATTCTGCGGGACTGAAACCATGTGCGAAGTGACGCCTGCAAGTCGGGCGTTCCAGATCTACAGGACTATGACAGGTATGTTCCGACATCTGATGACGTCTTATATCCGAAACTGACTATTCTCCCCAAGACGATAGAGAAGAGATAAGACGTATTGACACAATTGCCTTCCAGCTCTTCAGCAAGCAGCCATGCTTCGATACAGAGGTTCTCCCAGGTCGTATCCAGAAAATTCAGAAGTGTCTGGAAGCCTGCGCTAGAGAGTTTGCTACTACTATTGGTTGCAAGTCCCCTTTTCGTCATCTTGATTTTATGTCGGTCGAAGCGGTCAAACATGCGCTCAGTCTGAAGCGAGCACTGATGCTGAGCGTTTTCGAATACGAAATCTATTTCGCTACTCCTGGAATGGACTTCAACCCAGTTTGGATGGATGCAGAGAATGAAAACGGCGAAAGTTTGGACCCACTGACGTGTGCTAAGATGAAGGTATCAATTTGCGTGTTCCCCGGACTCGTGCAGGCACCAACGAAGAAACTGCCTGCTGATGCAGACATCTCTACAGCACTATTACAGGCGAAGAGCTTCTTTCCCCCGGCCCAAAAGGCAAGCCCATCTTTGAAGCATGAAATAATCGTGGCGAAGGCTGTTGTGCTGGTGCACGAAGCAGGCATGAACGCTTTCCAGCCCTAGGTACGAGGGTGAAAGACCTGACACCTGAGAATTGGAGAGAATGCTTTGTTCCACCAGCGTCGTTTCGGAATATGCGGCGTTTATGGCTGTTCAGTAATAGCTCTTATCGTACTAATATATCTGTGGTTTTGAATTGCTTTGCTTTGAACTGGCCCACTTTGTTCCTTGATTTTGTTGTCCAGAATGGATGTGCGACAACCGATGCGGATTCCGCTCATATTCAGGTGGGCTATACTATGCCCACGCAATAACAGCAAGATGGATTTCTAGGAGTCCAGGTACAAATAGAGAGTTTGCGATGGAAACGTTCTGTTATGCTCAACGTTGTAGAAGAGCTGCCAGTCATTCCATGCAACGAAGCTGGGGCGTAAAACAGGCCAGGTATGCCTCAGCGTCAGGGAAAAGCGCATGGTGTAACAAAGATGCGGCTCCTGAATGCACCCGCACATTGACCGACCTGGTCTTCGTGAATCTTCCGCCCGGGAAATGACCGCTGCGCTGAAGAAGATGAGTGGGATGTTACTCTTTCTCGTGTTCTAGGTGGCGCAGAGTGGGTTCCCCCAATGCACCATGCTACGCTACTAACGCTACCAAATTGTTAAGCCCATAGGCTTGCTAGAGTCAGATCAGCTCAACTTCTACAACCTCGAGAACACACGAAGACAATTAGCATTCCACGCTGTGTGTTTGCGAACAATGGATGTGCGAACGAGTCGCTTTCAGATCGTATCGCGTTGCAAACAACACTATCGAGCCTGCCTCCAGGATGCCTGAGGGCTTAGTATCGCAAGGCAGCACAGACTATCTTACACAGGTACCTGGATATGGTTGAGCCTCAAGATTTCACTATCGTCTCGATCAATGCTGTAGTGTATGATTGATCACTGAATGTACAAATCGTGCGACTGCAGAATGGCAGAGTGACAACGAACGCTGCTCCTCAGGTGTCCGGCAACCTAGCCATAAGCCAGTTGAGTATCCTAAGCAGTAGGCAGTTGAGCTGCCGACCTGTCATAGCGCATGTGCAAGCCGGTCATCGAGAGAAAATTCAGCTAGAGCTTGGTAAGATTCTCAGCTGATGAACGTCTCCATATCAACAAGATGCTCCCTACATCGAGTCTGGACAGTGGTAAGCCGATTAAGGAACATTCTAGTTGTATGTCAACAACAAAGAATCTCTGTAGGCAAAATTTTTCGAGACAAAGAAGTTACGAATATCCACGCTAAGCTGTGTACTACAGCGCAAAGAAGATAGAAGGGTCGACACTCTCGAGGCGCAGGAGCCGCGACAGAAAAGCTATCCATATAGCCAGAAGCGCTGCCTTCTTGACCCACGAAGCGGTTGTGGTCTATTTTCCATTCGTACTAAAAAAAAGAGTTCGCAGGTCGCTTCAGACCCGTCATCGCGCGTCTGTTTCTAAACCCACCAAGACAGGATGTGGATGTTGAAAACTGCGTCAGCCTGCTGTGGCCAGTTCCAAAAGATACAAATTATGTGTGGGTATGTTCAAGGCTGCTAGCTAGGGCGTCTAATGCTTCCATCATCGCCTTTCGGTCTTCGACAGGCGTCCCTCCCTAGCACCCTTCTAACCACCACGCTCTCGAGAACCTCTCTATGAACTTTATGTAAAGCTTATCTGCATATAATACTTCACAGTTGGCATACTTTCTTCCGGTCGTACATGAAGCATTTGTCCCATCCCGGGGTATACACCCCAACACGACTCAACGACGTTCATTGGACCACACCCCACGGCAGTAGTTGAGGATTTCACGAGCTCACTAAGCATGTTCCTCTGTGCTACCACTTAATTGAAGATGGGGTTCGAGACGTTAAGCTGGTCTTCGGCGCGTGAAGGTGATGTATATTCCTGCAGTGGGCCTTGTTAGACCCCTCAAGCACGTCGTATATAGTGGGCTGTGATCGAGCGCCACTTAGTGGGTACCCGACTCACAATCGTCAGACGAAACTCTGCCAAAGCATTGCTTCCATCAGCAACATCGAGTGCAAGAGGGTAAGGCGTCTTTTGGCGTCGGTTGTACATATGATACCCATTAGTGAAGGGTATGTGTCCGAAATGCGCTAGGCAGGCGCTTCCACGAAAGCCTTATGCTTTTTTGCTTCGCCCGATCCCACACTTGATAGCGACATTGAATGGCATCTCTCTTTGAAAATATGATTTCTCCAACAAGGGACAAATTGTGGATATGATGTCAAGTGTTGCGACCGATATACTTAATTGTATTTCTTTCCATCGAACAGGTAACTCTGCAGCACTGCCGTGCTTGTACCCAGCACCCCGACGCCGATCAAAGCCAAAATCTCTTATATATCCACGAGCACGAAGAACAAGAACTATGTGAGGCGTGCAGACATAGTGGCGCCACTACTGAGACATGAACCCTACTGCTTGTGCGCGCCATGGGTCACGAGTCCGAGTAGGATACTAAGGCCTTCACTGTAATCACTACCACTGTTCCTCTGTTGGTGTGCGGGCGTTTTGCTACCACTACCTCTTCTCCCGGCGCTCCTGTTTGTTATAGGTTTGCGCCGTTGTCCCGTGCGCGACTTGGTTTGCGGCCGCAACTCGTTGGTGGCAAGGATGGGTGGTGAAGATATTTATGGTTCAGAGGGCGATGACAAGTGCATCTTTACTGGCTGAACTATTTTAGAGGGCGTCTACCGCGAGTTAGCTGATTGCAGGGTTGTAATTGCGGTTCTAGGAGTAGCTTGTCGAGGGCTGAGGCAGCTGATTCGAGCGCATAGCATGTTGGACATGATGTGTTGCGACGGTACAATCTGGAACGGTGTTAATCCCCTGTCGCTCCAAGAGGCGTCAATCAAATAATTGATATGATCAAGTAGCTGTAGACACACAAGCGAAAATTGACATTGCTGGAATTGGCGGCCTGTTATGTGTTCCCGTCAGCAGGCATCTAGGTGTCTTCGAACACGGAGAAAAAGGCACTGCTCATCCGGCTCACACATGTCGAGAATGCTCGATGAAACTGCGCTATCCCGGCCGTGACGATCGAAGGGATGGAAGCTGTGCAAGATGCCCTGTTCGTTGTGTGTGCATACAGCTCCGGACAGAACACGCCCTCTGCCAACGCGTGGTGAGGTAGAGCTTCACCAGCCGGTGGTCCGACCAATCAGCTGTCACGTCACCCCCGGCATACCGCCCGTGATGCAATGGCAGACCAAATACATCTTTGAAGCCTTTCGTATCCAACAAACATGGCTATCACTTGCTTGCGCGTTCCTTGCCTTACGAATAGTCGATTATCGTGGTGGCGGGGTCCACGGGAGCTGCACAATCAGCAGCTGACCATCTCTCGTTGCCGCCGGGCTAGATACCGTCGACACCTCTTGCCGCACTGTCACTCCCACAAACAGATGCATACCTTACGATCTATGCTCGCGCCATCACACGTGCATAAAGAATCAGACTGTTGGCTTTTAAAATTTTGTGTGCTTCACATCTGGTCAGATGCTCTTGTATACTAGCTTGCTTCAACACGCTCGGGTGAAGGCACATCTGCAGAAGTCCAAGGAAATAGTCCAGTCAGTAGAGACGATAGCTCTTTCCCGGACTTACTAAGCATGGCCAGAAACTTGCTTCCTTTCCTCGAGATACTGCTTCCCCTGCTCTTCCTGATCTAACGGTTTATCTTTGATGAACCAAGAAACGACGAATCCAACCACAGCAGTAGCGGTTACCATCCACAAGACGCCGAAAATAGATTTCCTGTAAGCCTCAATGATCCTACCCAGTACATCCGCCGGCGCCTCAACACGCCTCAAGAGCGTCACAAAGCCGACCGCTTCTTTCACATCATGGAGTGCAGCCAGCTGGCCAGGTAGTGGCTGCAGGCTTGCGATGTTATCGGCGAAGATCGAGTTGAAGATGGTTGACGATATAGCCAGTCCTATGAGGCCACCAAAGAGGCGGAAAGAACACAAGATGCCGGCAGCGAAACCCATGTCGTCGACAGGCACACTGGCTTGGAGCGGGAGGTTCAATACAGACCAAAAAGGGCCGATACCAATACCAAGAAGCACTTGGAATGACTCCATCTCTGCCAAAGTGGAGGACCGATCCAAAAGTGTAAGGACGCCCGCACCGACCGCCATAAAGACCCAGCTGGTAATTATCACGAGCTTATACTTGCGCATGATCTCGACTGCGACTGCAGACGCAACTGCTGTGGCAATAGCCAGAAAGCAGACTGGCAAAGTCAAGACAGCTGCTGGTAAAGGCCCTTTGAGGTATACAGCCTGGAAGAACAATGGGATGTACAGAGTGATACTGTAATTTACAACGCCGTGCAGAAAGGCTGCAAGCAATGTGAGGAATGCGGTGCGGTCGTTGAACATTCGGTATGGTAGAACTGGCTCCACAGGCGTTTTTTCGTAACGGAGAAATGCGATCAACAGAATCAACCCTAGTATAAGGGGAACAATAGTTTTGTATGAAGACCACGGAAACATGCCACCAGCCCATGCAATTGGTGTGGCGAACAACGTGCAGCCGACAGTGAACAGAACGATTCCTCTCCAATCTAAGCGTCGTAGCTTCATACGTAGTGGCTGGTCAATTGTCTTCAGCCTCATGAAGATAATCGCCAATACTAGTCCGATGGCAGACAATGGTAGGTTGATCCAACCGATCCACCTCCATGTGACATTCTGACTGAACACACCACCAAGAACAGGTCCAAGGACAGTGCCTGCCAACATGGGTATCGAGAAGTATCCGAGGTACATTGGGCGTTCTTTCAGCGTCGTGATATCAGCTAGGATGATCTCGTTGAGGACGTCTAATCCGCCAGCACCAAAGCCCTGCAGTGTTCGGCCTGCAATCAGCACAGCCATACTTTGACTTAGGCCGAAAATAATGGACCCAGCGATGAAGAATATGTACGAGATGTACAAGGGCATTTTGCGACCCACGACGTTGGAGACACTGGTGTAGAGTGGTTGGACAATGACTACCGCCAGTAAGAAGGATATGCTAGCCCAGAAGCCTTCCAGGGTTGACCCGTCGAGCTCATGAACTATGGACTACATTGATATCAGTATTTCAGCAGTGTATCACCCCGACGGGAGATCTTACAGGAATTGCGACACCAAGTACCGTAGCATCAAGAGCGCAGATAAAGCCCATAATCAAAAGGGAGAGGAACGACATATGAAATGCCAGTGATTTCCCACGCAGCGGCTCTTGAGGTGTCGATGCATAATTGTCGACTTGGTTGTGTTTGTCGTCGCTGTGATGGCTTCTCGTCACAGGTTGCGGACCATCAGACGTCACACATACTTGTTTTCGAATCTCGAGATTCACCATGTTGATTTCTTTTGGTATGAGCGTGATAGGATGTCTGCAGTGGTAGTAGAAGCACGCGACTCTCCTTGACGGCGACCCTCGCAACTCCCAACCGTATCTCAGCGATGCACCACCGTAAGTCACGACTATTTTTGGGCGGATATTGCTCATCCGTTACAGTGGGTCATTCTTGCGATAGGAAGTGTTACCAGACGAGGATAATGGCTTCGCCACACATCAATACGTGCTGTAGCATGGTCTAATGCTGCAAAGACATCGCAAGGATAGAGACCAGCATTGAACCAGGCAGCTACCCTTACGAAGCGCTTGTACTAGGGTCTATCACACCATGCGAGTAGCTATTGAAGTCACTCAATGGGCTAAACTCGGATGGATACTAAACTAATGCTGATTCGGATCATCTCACTGCATATGTGGGTCAGTTTGGCCCCCACCATCTTCGCCGATAATGTCTGAAATGTCGCTTGACAAGGTACGTTACTTCTCGCAGTATCAAACTCAAATCATTTATTGATGCATGATACAGCTAGGCGGCATGGTGGCTTTTATGGATGATCCGATCAGCATGCGGAGCTCAGACTCCGCTGTGCCGCAATCTAACACTCCGATTGGCAGCCTGACTTTGGCTGAAAGTGGTGGCACCAGGGCGGCGGCCATACCCGCTGTACACCTTGGGGCGCGCGTGTTCCCCGCTTGCCCATAGAATACTTGACCTTGGCTAGACTGTCTGCCTTGCGAGATGGTTGTGCAAACCCACAAGTATGATGGATAATATGTCCGATTGGTCAAAACGTTGGCGAATCGCATGGAGCAATTTACCCGCACCCAATACACCCGCCCAGGAATGACGTGAACCGGTGAACGATCACGACCCGATGTCTTCCAACCATCGTTGAAGGTCGCTCATCAAGCGCTCGCCAAGTTCCGTATCAACCACGCAGTCTTGCCAACTACATGTGACACACATCTCTCCACCCTTGACTGTCATGATCGACACCGAGAATGCAGCTGAAGGTGTCTCTGCACTCAAGATGAGTTCGGCTCGACGAAGCGACCAGGCGTCCTGACCTCCATCGCTGACGCTAGTTGCCCCGTCGATGACACCGAGGTTGGTAACTAGCCAAGACAGATACCTCGTCCTGCGCATCTCGCTTTGCTGTTGGCTGTTCCAGTCGGGGCATAGCTTCATAATACCTATCAGATCGTTGCGTGTGCCGGACTCTAATCTTGCCTTGATCTCTTTGCGAACTCTTGCAGAGACAGACCACACTATATTCATCGCATTTAGAGGTAATTTTGATCCTGAAGAGGTGACTGGGATTTGAGAGCGGATTGAATCGACCAGGTCAGAGCCGAACTCGTGTTCAACGACTGACACGTAGTTACACATGAGCTCTTTGGGTTGTATCGAAGGGTACTGTTTAGTGTTGGATGGTAGAATGTGTCGCAGGTCGTACGGTGTTCTGCTTGCAAAGCCACTTGCGTCGTGGAGCGCAGTTGAAAGTGAGACTAGGCAAAGAGCCTGGAGAAGACCTGTGAGAGTGGTGTGGTGCTGACGACAGGCATCTACTAATTTCGTTACACAATGATTGTCGATTGCAAAGTTGCGAAACTGAGTCCGATAAGGAGATGCTTGGATTGGAGCCCAGCGTGCATGCGTGTTGCCAGGCGGGAAGATCCATTCTGGTTTCAGGCTTTTCCAGACTTCCCGTAGCATGAAGCCTAGGGATACAGGCCACGAAGACAAAATTTCCGGATTCGGTGGTAGCCTATCCGTCGGATCGGGTAGATTGAGAATCCACTTATCCGAGTTCTTAGAAACTTCGATTATTGGCTCCTTGTCATGTTTAGAAGCTTCGCGGAGTTGGTGCAGCAAGTTTTGGTGGAATATTCTGCCACTTGAGCCATCGTGATGTGGGTGGTTCCAGACGTAGAGCACCTCCATCGATTCGGCCCCAGCCTGATGTAAGACGATCACCCGCCAACCCGGCCGAGTCGATAAGTCTTCAAATCTCATGTCAAGCTGATCCTGCACAATCCTGAGATACTGTTGCTGTGACGAGGCGAAATCTTTTACATCAATCCATTGAATGTGGTTGCGAAGATCGAGGTGATCCAGACGAACGAAGGTGGGGTTTTTCGAATGCTCCCCGGTGATTCCGACCTGTAGATGAGACTGAGAGATCACAACTCGTGCAACAGAATCGATGAATCGAGCTTGGACGTCTACGAACAATTCTAGGCGTGCAAGGATTGGTGGCGGGAAGTAACGGCAGACGACAATGGTGCCGCGGTACTGGTCGAGCGTGTGCATCGCCAGCTGGTAAGCTTCACTGCTATGTGTGAACACCCACGCTCCAGTAGAGTCCTGGTGTATCGTCGCACTTACTGGCATCCCATGCCGCGAATTACGGCGCCCGCTTTGCCATCAGTTGCGGCCATGATTGGAGTCCGTTCGCATGTGCGACGGGCACCTAGTGATTACCAGGGAGGAGATAATGAACTGTGATAGTGGCAGAAGCAACTATACGATCGGCTGTAGCGCTTTTGTTCTTGGTATGGTAGATGACTACTGGTGGTCTATATACGCAGCCGTGGAGGAGCCACGCCACACCGAGCTAGTCGGCTTAGCGCGTCCGCACGGACTGTTGGAAGCTGCAGACTTAAATTGACATTGCACATGCGACCTTGCTCACTCTCCTTGCATAACCATCAAATCCGTGCGCTTTGCATCACTCTACGAAACCTCCATTGGCTTGTACATACGTACTTCCCTCCATAAGGAGCTTAGACAGTCTGCAGCTGCCTGTTCTGAGCAACCCCTTTCGTTACACGTACATGTACCATCTCTGGGTCCCGAACATCGTCGCTTCTGCTTCTAGAATCATCAACACTGCTTGTCGACAACAGGTCGTGCGTATTCAGTTCGCTCTCAACCTCAAACACGCTGCGACGCTGTCGAGACTTCGGCTTGTACATCACCTGCCATTTCTTTGGTCTGGATGAGCCATTCTGTCTGCTGCCGCTCGACAACGAGCGGAAAAACGATGATACGGCATCCGGTACTGGTACAGCTTTGGCGATCCGAGGAAACGCGGGTATCCCCATGATAAGGAAACCGGTTGTGACCTCCCAGATAGTCCATAAGGCGACGCCAGTCATCTGATAAGTAACATCGTCGGAGTGGAGTAAGTTGACGAAATATACTGTACGCACCACTCCCATGGTCCATGCCCTAAACAACGTGTGGTTAGTCTCGTAGTCATGGTGATATTGAAGGAACTCACGAACCCGAGACCTACGACAAAGAGCAGGGATAGGCCTACTTTTTGGTCGCGCGACATATTCAGATGCCAGATCACCCATTGTGGAATAGCGAGGATGACTGTATCCGAGATGAAGTTCAGAACACTAGTCGCGAGATTCTGTCCCAACACGTCGACAGAGCACGTGCCACCTTCAAACCAGGGATTCCAGATCTTCTCACGCGGCCAGCAGCGGAACACTTCAGTGAAGGTCGTAATGGTGTAGTAAAGTACATTGGTCCAGATCAACACATGGAGGGTCCAGTAGAAGGCGTTGCGCGTTCCTGTTGGGACGAATATGCGAAGCCAATTAGCCAAGATGGCGACTTTTATGCACATGGCGACTGGTCCATAGTAAACAGCACCCAGATGCGAGCCCTAAAGACATCAGTACGATGTGCGGACGACACTGGAAAGGCAAGCCTATTGAAGGGTACTCACATGGAGGAAGTCAATGAGTGTCTTGTTGTCCACGTTCCATTGATGAACCCATACACCTGGCCATCTGCAGAGGTTCCAGGTCATGTATTGATTTCCGGCGAATACGCCCTAAGAATCGGTTAGCATACACCCATCCCCTGTTCCTGGTGACTTAAAGAACCAAATGCTACTACTTACCAATGCTGCAACCATCAAGAAGTCTTCGATGACGATGCCATACCCAAGATTGTGGCTCCCACCAGGATTGGCAAAGTCGGCCACCACACCAGGTGGCGGGTCTAGGGCAGGCTCCAACAAAATAGCATCAAAAGTCGCGTTTCCCATGTTATGAATGAGGATGTTGTAATTCTTGGCGGAGTATGTTTTGCACGACGTCCAGGAAGAAAAACAAGGAAACACGCATGGATCATAGACATTGGAAAAGTCTATGTTTGTATGGGAGATTGAACGCGGGTAATGGGGAGTTGCGAGCCGGTACAAGGTGAGATCACAAGAGTGCTGCAGATAGTCGGGTAGTACAATGGCTGTATGCGCCACTAGGCTAATGTGCCTATGGGCGCCTCCCGGCATGGGATTGGGCGCAACTGCTTATCATGCATGCACAGCTGACAGACTTGATATACAGTCAATATGAAAACTCCGTCACCTTGTCTCTGAAGGGGCTGTGTTCCTGCAGACCCTGGTATTGACCTTTCAATACCCTGTACTGCTACCCCACCACAAAGCAACCAGGCTGACATCAAGCAGGGGTGGTAATTCCGACGGCGCCTACCGACAATCCTTCCCGCAGTCATTGCGACTGGAGAACCGTCAACGATCATGCAAAGGAGCCCAGTTGTTTTCCCAGGTCGTACCTTTCCTTGGTGTCATGCTAAGGATACACACCGTTTCCTCCCTTTAGATACTGACAAAAGTAACACTGCATACTTTTAGATCAGATTCCAACTTTTGTGAAACTTCTTGATCGAACCATCCTTGTTCGTAATTGCGACGGCAGACGCACAGCCTACTGCTTGCACGACGCGCGATCTAGCGACACCTCGAATCTTGACCACAGTCAACTTTCCTGCATACTCAACGAAGCACTGGAAATGGTTACCACTACCCCAACGAGAGGCAAGCAGCCTTTTAACCCAGATCGATCAATCACGAAGCAAATAAAGGCTCAGCAGATCCAGCCAAATTCGACGAAAAACCTTCCGGCCTTCTACCGTAATGTCGAAGAAGCGCTTGACAAGCGCCGCGCAACTCAAAGTCTGTTCTCCATAGTTCATAGTAACTGGCAGACCAAAGATGCTGTCGATTTCTGCTCGAACGATTACCTCAGTTGGAACACTACCGGTCTGATTCGTAAGGCCTTCCTCGAAGAATTGAGCCGCTACCCGGACTTTAGCGTCGCCGCTGGTGGTTCAAGAGTCATGGAAGGGAATTATCCCTATATTGAAGAGACAGAGCTAGAGATTGCAAAGGACCATAATGCTGAGCAGGGTTTGATTGTGAACTCAGCTTTCGATGCGAATGTTATGGTTTGGTCTGCACTTCCAAGACCTGGCGATGTGATCGTATACGATAGTTTGGTTCATGCATCTACCCACGATGGGATGGAGCGAAGCCTTGCCATTCAGAGAACCGAATTCCGACACAACAACATCGCCGCATTCCGGAACATCTTGACCTCTATCCTGGATACTCAACCGCTGATCAAACAAGGTCGGCGCTCTATACTCGTAGCAGTTGAATCAGTGTATAGTATGGAGCGCGACGTCTGCCCCTTACTAGAGCTTGTTGAGATAGCCGATGAAATCTCAGAAGGTCTTGGAAATATCCAATTCGTAGTAGATGAGACGCACAGCGCCGGGCTCATAGGACCAAATGGTACAGGTCTAGTGTGCGAACTGGGTCTGGAAGCCGACGTTGCGGTGCGGCTGCATACGTACTCAAAAGCAATGGGTTCCTGTGGAGGTAGGGAAAGTTTTCATGACTTCGATCACGGCTAACGCAACCGTCGTAGGAATTATACTCAGCAACGACATCGTGAAGTCCGCCTTGATCAATTTTGCGCGCCCCACAGTCTACTCTGCAGCACCACCATTCCCGTTCGTCGCAGCGATTCGAGCTGGACATAGGCTACTTGGTACCCCAGAGGCGGTCAAGGCAAGTACAGCATGACATGTTCTCGTTACGGAAGCATTAATGACAGAACATAGGGGCAAGAGAACGTTCAATCCATCGCTCGCACTTTCTTCGAGACACTGACGTCGCATCGACTTTGGCCAGTCGCGCGAAAAAAAGGTCTGCTCGACGTGCCGTTAGCCAGTGGCTGGGAGGAGCGCCTATTTCTTACCCACATCGTGACTATTTGGACTCGTCAGGAATATGTCTACTGGATTTACATGCATCTCCTTTCAGCTTCATTTTTCGTGCTTCCTGTGAAGCATCCGGTTGTGCCCAGTGGTCAAAGTCGACTTAGAGTCACATTTCACGCTGAGAATACCACTAAGCAGGTGATAAGCCTGGTGGAACAAATCTATGTATGGGTGGGGGAAGTCATGGCTATTGAAGATGGAAGTTCGGGAGAGAAGGTCACTGGAGCAGCCAAACAAGTGTATGCATGGATGAAGGTAGAGGGATTGAGTGGCTTCGGGATGGTTTGAATCTGCTATGGTATCATTCCGCCATATCGAAGTTGACCTATATTTGGAAATCTGACTGGCAATTTGGTGTATCGAGAGCAATATCTTCATGTCGGAACGGATCACTCTTCTCTACAATCACCAGCTAGTTGTGGCTTAGTTTCGCTCGTTCCGAGTTTGGCAAATGTTACTATCAGGTGGCACGACTTTCTCCTTTTGTAAACTCACAGCCATTAGTGGCATGCAATGTGCATGGTTGGTGGTACCCTGGCAGCGCTTACTAGATCGATGCATACCGGGGTATGGAGCCGGCTGTTCGTCCTAGCGGAGACCCTAGCGCCGATGTGGGTATCCTTGAGCAGTGCACATGCCCAGTGTAGAACACTACCCGATGATTCAAGACTAAGACCTCCGCACTCTAGGCCTGTCGGAGCTTGAACTTGGCCCTCACTTGCGCGTCAGCGGACAATGCGCCAACCGCCCACGGCCTGTGGTTACTTTATCTCGAACCCGGCTAGCAGACTCATCGGAAACCTTGCAAACATGTTATTCGTTCAATGAAAAAAATAAGCCGCATTAGTCTCGTCTTATGATATTGTGGAGACCTCCGGGGCTGTTGATACTTGAGCCTAAAGTACTACACCCATCTCGCTGCAGACCCGCTTCAGAAATACGCCTCACCGGACGACTATCTCCCGAATAAAATGATCGCCGTGGAGGCAATATACGTTCGAATGCCGACGCTACTGACACTACAGGGTATGCTCAAGCCGACATTGATATTTTGGGCAAACGCTGGGCAACGGGGGCTGAAAGATAAACATGCACACCATTGTGTCGGTTCGAAGTTCTAACAGCAACAGAATATGTGATATCATGTCTTACCGCTGATGTTGCCTAGTTTGGTGAATTTGACGGGCGGCAAAGACGATTGATACGTCAGTCAAAGTAGAGACTTTGAAGCAATAGTTCAGCTCACGAGTACGAGCTTCTTTTGTAGACGTATCCAATATCTTCTCGTTGTCGAATACATGTCAATTTAACAGCAACATAATCAATCATATCGCCAAACTGCAAAACATAATCAGTCTAGCACTCACTCATACTTCATATTTCCCATATCAGATCCCCAAGCTCAATAAAGTTCAAGTCACTCATCCGCCATGGAACCCATCGCTATCGTTGGACTTGCATTCAAGCTCCCCCAAGATATAGATGATGAAGCAAGCTTCTGGCACATACTCGAGCAAGGTCAAAGTATGATGACAGAATGGCCTAAGTCGAGAGTCGATGTCAATGCGTTTGCAAGATCACCCGAGGCTTCACTCAACACCGTAGGTTCAGACCGAGGAATGCAAGATGCGCGGTTCTAACACAATGATACACAGTTAACCTCGACCCGAGGACACTTTCTAAGACAAAATCTCGCCAGTTTCGATGCTCCGTTCTTCTCTATATCCTCCAAAGAGGCATCGGCGATGGATCCACAGCAACGCATGCTGTTGGAAACGTCTTATCATGCACTAGAAAACGGTACGTTACTGTTTATCTAATCTTGCTACACACTTTCTCGAGTGTGTTCTGACAGGCTCAGCCGGGATCCCACTCAGTAGCATTGCTGGGACTGAAACAGGCGTGTTTGTTGGCACGATGGAAAGCGATTATCACAGGATGATCTCAAAAGACCCAGATGACGCACCAATGACTACGGCGACAGGTATATCAGTCTCCATCATGGCCAACAGATTGAGTTGGTACTTCGATCTGAAGGGTCCCTCCATGCAACTGAATACGGCTTGTTCCTCAAGCATGATCGCAGTAGACCTTGGCTGCCAGTCGATCCTGTCAGGTCAAACTTCCACGGTAAAGACTTCTTAACCCATGCTGCACTGTGATGACATACTGATACCCCATTAGGTGCTTGTCGCAGGATCAAGCCTGATGTTGGACCCCGAATACTCATTATATCTGAGTAATATGAACATGCTGTCGCCTGACGGTATCTGCCACAGCTTTGACGACCGCGCGAACGGCTACAGCAGAGGCGAGGGTGTCATAGTCATGATTCTCAAAAAGTTGTCCACGGCAATCTCAGATGGGGACAACATACGTGCTGTCATTCGAGGCACAGGATCAAATCAAGACGGCCGAACACCAGGGATCACCCAACCAAGTTCGGTGTCGCAAGAGAACCTTATCCGACATACATACCGGACTTGCAATCTTGGATTCGAATCGACACGCTACATAGAAGCTCACGGTCAGTCCCTGCGATGTCCGCAGACTTTGGTATGATCTTCTGACTTAGAGTTCAGGCACCGGAACGCAAATCGGAGATGCCATGGAAATGAGAGCTCTTGGTGCTGTCTTCAGAACCGCTCGCTCGCCCAAAGCGCCTCTTTTTGTGTCAGTCAACCTCCCAGATCCAAGTGCACATCTACTTACAATTGTGAAGTGGGTCTGTCAAGACCAATATTGGACACCTTGAGGGTGGAAGTGGACTGGCCGGGATTGCCAAATCCATCCTCATTCTTGAGAAAGGTTTCATACCACCGAACGCGCTGTTTGAGAGACTGAACACGAAAGTCAATGCTAAACGAAATAACATCCAGGTAATGGCAGTCCTACAATTTGAGTCTACTTGGTACTGACAGCTGCAAGGTCCCAGAGTCCTGTATTCGTTGGCCAGGTGAAGGCTTGCGTCGAATCTCCGTCAACTCGTTTGGGTTCGGTGGCTCGAATGCTCACGCTATTCTCGACGATGCGTATCATACACTTGAAACGCTTAGTTTCCGAGACAGTCTCCGTAGCATCGTAACACCGAGAGTTGCGCTGCCAGGAACTTCGAACGGACACCGTCAGAACGATGTGAAAGTGATGGGATCAGTATCGGAAGAGAAAGTCGACGGACCAACTTCTGGTATCGACGATGCTGGGAGAGCTAATGACGTGACTTCATCATCTGCTGACGTCGTGACCTTGACGCGTACCAATGGGCTGTCAGCAATCCTTGGTGAAACAGAAACCCAATCGACCAAGGGCTCAGAGAAGAAGACCGACGGCAATACTGTATCAAACGGCACATCTCCAAACTACCGCCAGATTCTAGTCTTCACTGCCCGCGACGAAGCGGCCTTGAAGCGAATCCATCAGCAATACGCAGAATACTACGATCGCAGCATAGTTGGAGCGCCCAGAATGCTGGATGATCTCGCTTATACACTCGCGACGCGTCGAAACACAATGGCCATGCGATCATTCATAGTCGCCGATTCGGACTCATCGTCTTCGAGTTTAGGCCTGCCGAATTTGAACTGCGTACGATCGTTGGGGGAGCCACAGCTTTGCTTCGTATTCACGGGCCAAGGTGCCCAGTATGTGAATATGGGGCTCGAACTTATTGATTATCCAGTGTTCAAGGACGTTCTGACTCAGGCCGATCGCGTTTTCCAGAGCACTGGGGCTGAATGGTCCTTATTCGGTATGTTGCCTTGCGTCGGCCCTCCACACACAATACGCGCATAGCTGACCAATGATACCAGATGAGATGAAAAGCGGAGAGAGGATCAATCTCCCGCAGTTCAGTCAACCCCTATGCACCGCTCTCCAGATAGCCCTTGTTGAGTTGTTGAAAAGCTTCCACATTGCTCCGGTGGCTGTCGTTGGCCACTCATCCGGTGAGATTGCGGCTGCATACGCTATTGGTGCGTTGTCTCTCGAGTCTGCCTGCAGAATTTCATATCACAGGGGTAGACTGAGTGGCCAGTTGGCTGCGCAGTTGGCATCTTCCATTAAGACTGGAGCCATGATGTCTGCCAATCTTCAAGAAGGCCAAGTTCGTGCATATATCGACAAGTATCGTTTGGACGCGAATATCCGAGTAGCCTGCGTCAACAGTCCTTCGAATGTGACTTTGGCGGGGCCTGAAGCAGACGTCGATGCACTGAAATGTCATCTGGATGACGACCGCATATTCGCACAGAAGCTGAATACTGGAATCGCATACCACACTGCGGTTATGAATGAGATGGCCCAGGAATACGTTTCGTGCCTGAGCAATCTCGTTGAGTCGACACCTGGATCTTGTGCTACCTTGATGGTGTCTTCAGTCACAGGACAAAGAGTAACCGCAACAGACTTGTGTACGGCACAATACTGGGCCGACAACCTTACTTCGCCAGTGCGCTTCCTCGATGCGCTCCAGTATCTCGCAATAGCTGCACCGAAGCTAGATGGTATCAAAGCGATATCCGACTACATTGAAGTCGGCCCCCACGGAGCACTACGGCGACCCATCAAGGAGACATTAAGCCAGGTGCCGAATTACAGGACCTTCGCATATGTATCCATCTTATCGAAGCTTGTGTCATCTATAAAGACAACAATGAAAGTAGCCGGTCATCTCTTCACCCGTGGCTACCCTGTCTCCATCGCTGCAGTCAATCGATACACAGCTAGCTCAAACTTGCCCATGCTACTCTCGGATATACCAAAGTATCCGTTCGATCGTACTCAACAGCATTGGTTTGAAAGCCGACTAAGCCGTGACTGGCGTCTGCGCGGCGCTGCTCCAAGAAGTGTACTTGGCATACGTGTGACCGACTGGAATCCACTTGAACCGCGATGGCGCAAGATGCTCTCTACCCAAGAGATGCCTTGGATTGCGGAACATGTCGTATCTGGCGTCATAGTGTTTCCTGCGGCTGGTATGATCGTCATGGCGCTCGAAGCCGTAAAACAAACAGTGCAGTCGCACCAGACACTATCCGCGTTTCTGGTCAAGGAAGCCACATTTGCGACTCCAATATTTGTCGACACGGAACGGAAGACCGAGGTTGTGACACAACTGCGTCCAATCAAGGCGGCTTACGAGCGAGAAGCCCTGCGATTCGATGTCGTAATCTTTTCGATCGACGACAGTGGAAGATGGACGGAGTGTTTCAAGGCTACCGTTCATGCTCAGCCTAAGACGGGTGCCACATCCGAAGTTGACGGAGGACTTGAAGCACGTGAAACCGCGGAAACCTGCGTCAGCCGCTACAAGGAAGCAAAGCTTTCGTGCACTAAGCGTATCAATTCGCAAGACTTCTATGAATGGCTAGACAGACAGGGTCTCTCATATGGCGAAGCTTTCGCTCTTTCGAAAGACATCTTCTGGGACGGGAGTGAGCTCTGTGTATCGCGCGTCGACAACTCTGGAGAGCTCTATGAGGGCGTGATGCATCCAACTGTGCTCGACAACTGCCTGCAGCTGTGCTGCACAGCGCCTTCGGGAGGAATGACCAAGAAGCTATCGACATTCATTCCAAGTAGTATGCGCGACCTCTGGGTTTCCGCAACGGGGTGGCAGCATCCACAAACCAATTCGATTCGGATCATGACCCAGGCGAGGCCGAACATACAAATGACCGGGCTAAACTGCTCTATGATGGCTTTCAGTGAACCTGGACAACTACTCTGCGATGCTAAACACCTTGGCATGTCAGCCGTCGCCGGCAAGGCATCCGCAGATGGTGATCAAAAACGATTGGTGCATAGCATCGATTGGAAGCCGCAGCTATCTCTGCTCACCAAGCAACAACTTTCTGAACACTGCAGGTCGAACAACAAGGATGACGAAACCTCGGAGATAGAATACTGCATCTCGTTGGAAGATGCTATCCGCGCACGACTCCAACGCATTCTTCCCCAACTCCAAGGTTTGGTGGAACCAGGGACACCTACTCATCTCAAGCGATTCGTGATGTGGATCGAGCGACAGCTCCGGCAAACGCCAGGCAAAGCTGCGGATGAAGTTAGTGATGCAGAGCTCGGCTTGAGGCTTGAACGCCTTCGAGAGAATAGACCATCCTGGAGATTGTGTCTTGAAGTGCTCGACAACTTGCCTTCAATCATCCGCGGCGAGACTGATGCACTTGGTCTACTCTTCACGACACCTGTAGCTCACGACCTGTATGATGCTTTCTTCCGCCGCACATGCAATGAGAAGCTATCCAGGTATCTTGAACTGACCGTCCACCAAAACCCTAATCAGAAGATTCTTGAAGTTGGAGCGGGAACCGGCGGCATGACGAATCAGATCTTGACGATGCTACACCAAATTGAACAACGTACTGGTGGCACTTCCTTCCGCGAGTACGTTTACACCGACATCTCACCCGCCTACTTCGAAGGGGCTCGTGAACGCTTCGCGAACTACGGGAGTCGCATGACCTTCAAGACCATCGACCTCGAAAGCGACATCAGTGCGAACATCGAGCCTGGATCGTGCGACATGATTTTTGCGGGCAGTGTGTTGCATGCCACCAAGAACCTGGCTAAAACTATGCGCAATCTTCGGCGTGCACTGAAACCCGGCGGCCAGCTTGTCTTCCTGGAGATTACACAAGCTCCAGAATGCTTCCCTATGAGCTTTGGTTTTGGTGTGCTTCCAGGGTGGTGGTGTGCCGAGGAAACGTCTCGCGAATGGTGCCCAACGCTCACCGAGGTGCAGTGGGATGTTTTGCTGAAAGAGACTGGTTTTACGGGCAATGAGTTGCTTGTAAAGGATCATGAGGACCCAAGAGCGAACTACGTGACTATCATCACTTCCACAGCCGAGAAGACACCGAAAGCACTAATTGAGGTCTCGAGAGTGTTACTCATCATCAATAATCATGATGAGCAGCAGGAAAACCTGGCGCGAGCGGTGTCGACTGCGATATCCGCTTCGTTCACTTGTCAGGTAATCGTTTTTACGCTTCCTGACATTGCTGAAGCGAAAGTTGGTCCATCAGATTGTATCCTATTCCTCGCAGATATGCAAGGATCAATCTTGGCTGAGCCATCGAAAGATGAGTTCCGACTGATTCAGACCTGGTTGCAACAGTCGAAACACCTGCTCTGGGTGACTGCAGCGCTCACATCTCAGCAATTTTCGCCATGTACCAGTATCAAGGACGGTTTACTAAGAGTGATACGAGCCGAGAATAATAGCAAGAGGATCATCTCTCTCACTCTGGAGCACGACGCTTCCGACCTCCAAGTCTGTCAGCAGTGCATCGTACAAGTTTTCCGCTCAGCATTCGAGGACGCGTCCCCCGAGCTAGAGTACACGGTTCGAGACGGAAAGATTATGACTGGTCGTCTCGTCTTCGAAGCTGGTCTTAATAGGGATGTGGTTTCTTGCATGTTGCCAATCACGAGACACGAAGCATGGCTCCCAGGGCCACCTCTAAAACTACACGTTGCGTCGCGAGGCTCTCTCGAATCGTTGTGTTTCATCGAAGACCAGTACCTCACCGAGCTTGGTCCAACAGAGATTGAGGTTGAGACCCAAGCTTGGGCCGTCGGCTTCCGCGATGTATTCGGTGCACTTGGCCGGCTGGATGAAAACGAATTCGGCACGGATTGCGCCGGTAAAGTCACAAGGGTTGGTTCTAAATGTACCCAACTACGTCCTGGAGATCGCGTGAGTACGTCAATGTTTGGCTGTATGCGCACGTATGTGTACTGTGATGAGGGAGATGCCATCAAGGTTCCGGACACGCTCTCCTTGGACGAGGCTTGTGGAGTCATTAACCCAGTAATGACGGCGTGGCACTCTCTCGTGGATGTAGCGCGCCTTCAGAAGGGTGAGAAGATCCTCATCCATGCGGCGTCCGGCGGTACAGGACAGGTCGCGATCCAAGTCGCCCAAATGCTCGGTGCTGAAGTCTACGCTACTGTGGGTTATGATCATAAGAAAGAGTTGCTTATCAAGAAATATGGTATTCCAGCTACCAACATCTTCTATTCCAGAGATCTGAGCTTTGCTCAAGGCATCATGCGAGTCACCAAAGGATATGGGGTAGATGTGGTGCTAAACTCACTAGTTGGCGAAGGTCAGAAATCATCATGGGAATGTGTCGCTCCGTATGGAAGATTCGTTGAGATAGGCAAGGCCGACATCTACGCAAACTCACCGCTGCCCATGGCGAGTTTCGCACACAACAGGACTTTCTCCGCAGTCGACCTTCGCGACCTTGCTTTCCACCGGCCAGAAGCGTCAAGAGCGCTCTTCCATAGGACAATGAACTTAGTCCAGGAAAAGGCAATTTTCTGCCCAACACCATTGAACAAGTTTCCAGTATCGGCAATCGAAGACGCCTTCCGGTACATGCAAACCGGTAGAAGCACGGGACGTGTTATTGTCACGCTAGACCATGGCGATGTGGTACCGGCAAGTCATGGATACTTTCCTAGCATTTGAGTTCTGGCTGACGCATAATAGAAAAATCTCATACATCGACCTGCCTGGACATTCGATTCCGAAGCCGCGTATCTGGTCGTCGGAGGTTTGGGGGGCGTGGGACGTTCTATCCTCCGCTGGATGATATCGAGAGGCGCAAAACAGTTGATAGTGCCCTCCAGATCCGGACCTCGCGGCGAAGCTGCCTTCAAGATTGTGATCGACGCAATCAAATCGGGAGTCACTATTCTAACGCCAAGCTGTGACGTTTCAGACATGGCTTCGCTCAAACTGATGCTTGATGAGTGTGCACCAGTCGTAGGTCCAATTCGTGGGTGCATAAATGCGGCCATGGTTCTGCAAGATTCGATTTTCGACAACATGACGCACGCTCAATGGAAAAAGACCATCGACTCGAAAGTCAAGTCGTCGTGGAATCTTCATGCTGTACTCCCGAATGACCTAGACTTCTTCATCCTGCTCTCATCTGCTGCTGGCGTTCTTGGCAACGCTGGTCAATCCAACTACGCAGCAGGCTGCACATTCCAAGATGCACTGTCTTCGTTTCGGAAGTCCCAGGGACGAAAGACAGTGTCGATTGACCTCGGTCTGATGAGTACGGTTGGCTTCGTGGCGGAAAATGAAGGCGTCAAGAAAACCCTGGAGAGGTATGAAGGTTTGAGAGCAATCGACGAAGCAGAGTTTCTCGCACTCATGGATATCCTTTGCGACCTTGAGCACCCGCCAAATATTTCAACCATCAATGGTCAAGTGACCATGGGTATCACCACGCCGGCAGATCTGGCCCTCGACAACGGCACCATGCCCATGGAGCATATGCACCAATCCCTCTTCGCCTACTTTGTTCAGACAGAAGCCATGGCGAGCAGCTCCATGCAAGCAAACGGTGTGAACTCGGCAGCCCTGTTTCGACAAGCCGAAAGTGTGGAGGAGATGGATCGCATCGTCGTCGAATCCTTGGTAAGGAAGATAGCACGTGCGCTGTCCATGTCTTTGGAAGACGTAGATACCGACAAGGCTCTACATTTGTACGGAGTGGATTCGCTCGTTGCGGTGGAAATTCGTAACTGGATCACAAAGGAGTTCATGGCGGATGTGCCGGTGTTCGAGTTGATGAGCGGGAAGTCGATTCTGGCTATCGCACAGCTGGTGACTAAGAACAGCCAGATCAGGAAGACGGTAGCCAAAGCATAAGCTTTGTCGAATTCCAGGTTGCTAGAGCAGATCCGTACCTGTGCCAGAACAAACTATCGCACTACATTTTGATCAGGCGGGCCTCGTCTTCCATCCACTATGATCACCGTACTCATCGTTTTAGCTAAATCCAGCTTTACTTTGGCGTACTTTGTTTGGCCTATGAGTTGACCACGGTATGTTCTCGTTCGGGGCGGGAGGAAAGAGGTCATCGGGCGGCAGGACCGGTGGATTCGACGGTTTTTGAGGCGCTTAGGGAGTCGGGAGAGGCGGGCGGTGTGGACATTATATTCTCAATCGAGTAACCGAGACGAGCGCCGTCGATTGCGCGCGATTCGACGATGATCCGACGTCATTGTGTGTGGTGGTTTCGCGTTGTAGGTAGTTGTCTACGCGCGACCAACCCCACGCGCTGCGGGTAGCGCGCGAGAGTGGGGTGTCAGTCACAACTATCGCGGCCGGGCGGCTTGACACTCCTCACGCAAGAACCATCACTGTAAAACGCCTCACGGGAATCAAAACGTCGCTTTTAGCACTGCCGAAAACCTGATATTCGCTTGGCAACGCCCATTGATCTTGTACTTCAGTCAACAGTAGGATCGTCATTGCTGAAATAACCCGCACGCTCACCTTCCGCATCGCCGTTTCTAGACTTTGTGCATAGTCACCTTGCGCACTTTCATCCCGGCTCTGTCGTAGAAGAGAATTCAGAATCCATTTAGGTCGTCGATTGCGTATAGTTTCCCATGGTGACTTGACAAAGCAATCACCGTTCAACGCACCGGCGCCAAACCATACGACAGGGATAGTAATGCAAGCGCGAATGATAAGGAAAGCCTACAACGAGAAACAGCCAACCCCATCAATAGGTAATGAGAGCCGAAGTTGACGCGAATAGCCTCGCAACCTCATCTGACGCTCTCACTACCTTCAGAAGAGGAACCCAATATCTCTTCAGAGCAGAGTACTTCTTCCTACTACAATAGAGCGCGTTAGAGCTTTTTCGACAGAGATCGAGAGTCTAGACGACGACAATGCTAATAATGTTTGTAGAATCTCTTATCAGAAGACAATGTAGGCTGTAAGGTAGAGTTTATCATTTCTGTGTCTGTCTAATATCATCTTTGTATGAGGTAAATGCTGTTGTCACTAATGCTAGCAGGGCCTTGGGTGGATAGCAAGCAATTGACGGGTACCAGCCCCGGTCAGCCAGACGGCTGTTCGTCCTAACTCTCTAGCGGTCGTCTTCGTCTGAGAGATCGCTAGGAAAGTTAATGTCTTCGTGTTGGTAGACTTCGCCCTCCTCTCTTACGTCGCAAAGACGTTGATCACCGTACTGAGCGTCGAGTGGTACTTTCATAATCTCAACTCCTCCAAATCCCTACTTGGGAAAGCCTGCGGTCTTGTCCAGCGCACCAATCGCCGAGAATATCCGTTTTGTCTCGACTGGGATCACCATGGAGACTCGGACGACAGGGTTATCTAGTGTTGCAATGAACCTAGAACGTAGCATGAGCGAGATGATGTGCCTCCAGACTTTCTCGCACAGTACGATGAGACGAGTCACAATGACCGCCCTAGTCTTTCCCTTCTCCAGGCACGCACTGTTCATGAGTTAGCCAATAATCCAGGTTGTAGTCATGATCCTCGTCATGGCATCAAGAAGTCGGGAAGCTTATGCAAAGTGGCTGAACGGCTCAAACGCTGCGTAAACGGAAAAGATCCAATCTTTGTCTTCGAAGATCTTTCGCAAGCAGTTCTTGCGGACATCGACGCTCGTGGCGGCAACAGGAACAGCCTCCCCCACATTGCGAATGGCCCTCGGACTACCTCCACCGACTCGGGCCTGAGCTGCTGACATCTTGGTTTGAGAAGTTGAAGAAGTTTGAAATGCTCAAGAGGTTGTAGGAAACTTGCAGATAATATGGATTTCGAAGGGTAAAACCTAGTCGAGAGTGCGCATACGCTTCTCTCACCTGGGCTTGAGGAAAGAGCAGCTCTATCAATAGCAGAACATCTCGTAAACCCATCTACTGGAGCGCCACTCCAAGGGAAGATATTCAGATACGTGGCAAGTCTCTGATTGGCCGCGCGGCACAGGAAACTGTCCAGGCAAAGGCAGTATGTGTGCTTGGTCCCACATAGTATTCCGCTTCTGTCCCTCATCGAGGACCGAAGTACCCGAAAAGATGATGGTGGAAGCCTGGTCTACTGCAACCTGTTGCTGTTCACTTGGCTTCAGGGCAAGATCCCAAATTGTCAGGAGCTGTCTCAAATCTCCAATCGAGGTTGGGGACGGGCTTGGTGCAATTGCAGCATTCCGGCAACAGCGTCAATTCAGCTACGCGCAGTGTTATCAGGCTGACGCTACAGACGATACGCTGCTATGTAGTCGACGCTGCTAAATGCTGATAGAATAGAATAGCCCTGAAAAACAGTGCGCTGTCGTGTGTGAGATGCTGGCATCGGATTTATCCTTCGTGACCCCTTGAGTTATCGGCCGACGGAAACAACAGGGAGTTCATCAGCCGGGCTTGGTGTTTGCCAGTGCTTAGACATTTTGCGAGGATATCTGGAAGTAAAAATGGTGTCTGTGGATGGTATCGATGGTCGCACACTGTGATGAAGTGGTATAACGTGGTGAGGTATAGAGATGATGCATTGATGATCTGACCGGGATCAGCAATGCGGTGACCAGCCCGAAGCCCAGAAGAAGGTGGTGACCCTCTAGCTGATCTAGTCGAATCGGCTAAGGGACTCGTCACTCGCCTTCCGCAACCCCGGAGCCGTCTTCGACATGTCTGACATGTTAGCAAAAGAATGTATATGTGTGTAGGTGCGGGGGTGAAAGTTCTAAAGAAGAAAAGGTGAGAATTCTAACTATGTAGGCATCGCGCTAGTGCGTATGGAAGGTACCAACAACAACAACATGAGATGGCTCTTTCTTGACAACGTGCACGCTGAGCCAGGATCTGATTGTTGAGGCACAGACTCTACGCTGAAGTCATGAGCAGTCACATTGTGTAAGCATGTTCTTTTCACTAAGGCGACTGCAACAATGGAGGTTTGACTGGAGTAGAGAAATCTCGATCACTGCCAGCTATACAAAATACGCCACCCTTGTCCACAGCTCAAACCCTATAGCTTCCACTGCCTGCGATCATACTGCTTCGGCCAGATCCCCGATTTGCCTGGCGCGAGAATCCCATTAGGATCAACTGTGTTCTTGATCGTCTCATTAAATCGTCTGAAGACGTTGTTGTTGAACGAGTATGTGTCCATGATCTGATCCATAGCTGCAAGATGTGTTCGGTACTCTCCCCACCCTTGCTTAGCACAATCATCAATCAGCGTCTTGATCAGCCATACAACCTTCTTCTTTTGTTCATCGTCTTCGCGATTGAAGACGATACATACTATGTGGTGCATTTCGCGCATACCAACCGTGAACGTGCCGATGAAGTCGAGGCCAGCTTCGTGGCACCGCGCTTTGGTGAGAGCGAATTGCCTAGTCGCTTCATCGCCATTCACTCTAGAAATTGGCGAGAAGAAGAGATGCGAGCCATTTGGTAACCAATCCAGCCATTTCAGCTCATCGTAAGTGGGAATGCCTTGCATAGTTTTGTGGCGCATATGCAAGATTAAGTTTGCCTCCTTTCGGTCTTCCGGGAAGTAGAATTTTGCTCCTGGTATGGCCGAGAAAGACTCTTTGACAACAGCCCACATGGCGTCACGGATTGGCTGAGGTCCGTAAAGCGCACCGTAGAAGTTCCATCGACCAAGGTCAAGCTTCTTAGCTATAGCGTCTAGTTCCGCGTCCGTAAGAGGCTTGTTGATGTCTGAAGTGTAATCGGATTTGTGACCCAAAACAGCGGCGTCCAGAAGAATATGTCGGATCGTAGGTACATTCTGGAGAATCATATTCAATCGCAACGGTCGTATGATGTCAACAGCTTGCTTCAAGTCGTCCTCACGAGGAATCGTGATGAGATATGACTGATAACCACCTGGGTTCGGCATGAGCCACATGCCCATCTTCGTAGCGATACCTAGATTGGATTGGGTGAATATTCCGTCAACATAAGGACCGAAGCCGTAGTTAAACAACTGCGCCGAGTCGTTCCAAGGTTGGTCTTGAGGAGGAACGCCGTCCTTCTCGTGAGGATGAGGTAGCGCACCCATACCAGTACGCATGACCTCGCCACTCGGTAAGACTAGCTCTATACCGCAATGCATCATGAAGTGATCTAAGTATGAGATCAGATGGGAGCTGACAAGCATTCATGGTGATACTTACCACCATAAGGCGTGTAGCCAACACCCCTCTCCATAGTATTCCCCAGCACCGAACCACCACCAAGATCAGGCACGTCAAGCCAAAGCTTGTCACGAAGGTTGTTCTCGACGAGGTAGGTATGAAGATCGTGGAATGTGACCCCTAAACGAATGTCAACGTTGTGAACAGAACTAAGATCAGATGTGACAAATCACCTGGCTCGACCAGAGCGTACGCGCCCTCGACATTGACTTCTAGTATCTTGTTCATATTTTTACCCATATTAACGACTACGCTACCAGATACACGTGGAGCGGCGCCTCCGTAGCCCGAGTTTCTTCCGATACTGATGGGCCATAGTGGTACATGGTACTCGTTTGCAGCCTTGACGATAGTCTGAACATCAGCAACATTGCGGGGGGCGACGACAGCTGAAGCGAGGAAGAAATCTTGCTTCAAGATGTGATGAGGGTCGTGCGTGTAGTTTGGTTTCATGTAGTTGCCGTCCTTGATCTGAGATGCGGAGGAGATGACCTCAATGTTGTCGCTGCCAACATCTTGACAAGCTGTTAAGAACTTGTTGAAGGCATCGTTGCTGACGTTGGGTGGCAGTACAAGTGGCTTTGCGATTGCGACCATAATGATAATGTAGAATAGTTTAGTCGTACTACTTTGAACGATACGGACGAGAAGCAATGTATTCTTCAGTGAGACACTCGCTACAGGTAGCGTCAGACTCTCTTATGATCCCTCGTGGTATCTATTGTCGCGAGGGTTAGTGGCACATCCGACAGGAAGGCGGCCAACGTCCCAGTTGCGTGCGGGGAATTTGCAACAGTATGACGCCATCAAGAAATAGCCGTGCGCCAGTTGGATCGCGACTGGAATATGTCTGGAGATGGGAGACGGTATTGTCGTGATAGTCTCCCCACTGTGGGAGAAAGCCGTTGTTGTCCCTGGCTGTGGGAATTTCCCGACGCTAATTCCTAGCCGTATGCGGGGTAACCGCATTCGCGTGACTGTATTCAGGCTCTGTTTATATCTCATTCGTACGTAACTCGCGAGCGAATAGATCGTGTACAATGATGGCATTTTGCCGCTGAAGTGTCACTACGACTTGAGAAACGATGTATGTCGACTTCGTGAGCCTGAGCATCAGGCGTAGTCGTACCTAGGTACTCTCCAGCTCATCAGAATAGGGCATCGCCTGGACCTTATCTGAATAAGGGTCCTTACTCTACTCGGGATAATGGCGCGTGTCATTTGCGAATTGAAGATGCTTTTCAATCCTTCGGGACGGAGTCAACTCCGGTATGAAGTTCAGCGTTGATCATCACCGGGAGTCCGACACCCGATAGGACGGGCATTTCCCACAGCCAATATGCAATCAATCCCGCGAACAGGTTGATACAGCGGGGTCAAATAGAAGACAACCTCTGAGGTAGTGACCACGCTTCGTGACTCTCCTCTATAAGACACGAGTAATGCTCGGCCTAGATACGTCGACGCGATCTTCATTCCTATAAAAACGCAGTCGCATAAAGACAGTACAACAGTATCCACCCAACTCAAGCCATGCTTGTTTCTGTGGCTACCCCACCCCTATATATTGTTCTTCCAGTCGCCCTTGTAGCGTATTGGATCATATGGATTGTTTACTCGCGATCCTTCCACCCTTTGTCTCAGTACCCTGGTCCCTATCTTGCCTCCGTATCGCGAGCATGGATCGTGTTCCAAGTCATCGGAGCTCAAGCGGAAGAGACACAGAGAGATTTGCATGCCAGATACGGTGACGAGCACAACATGGAATAGCATAATGTGCTTTTACTGACTGTCCAAGGTCCGATCGTCCGCATTGCACCAAATGAGGTCGCTATTGCTGATCCGACCGCTATCAAAACCATCTACTCTGTCTCTTCTGGTTTCACAAAGACTGACTTTTATCCAACGTTCCGGCCTTCCTTTGCCAGGCACCCCGATCTTTTCACCGACCTGGATGAGAAGTCTCACGCTAGACGACGTAAGATTGTCAACAATCTATACTCCATGTCCAACATTGTCCGCTCGGAAGAGAGCATCGACAACTGTACGAGAACTCTCATGGAGAAGTTCCACGAGATTTCTCAGAAACACGATGTTATCGATATGTCCACATGGTTACAGTGGTATGTTTCATAACTGGACTGCGGTCTCATCACGCTCAAATATATCAGGTACGCATTCGACGTCATAGGCGAGCTCTTCTTCAGCCGCATGTTCGGTTTCATGGCGCAAGCCACTGACTATCGCGGCTACATAGCAGCCCTCGATCGCCTTCTACCCATGCTGACAATAGCATGCGTCATGCCCTCATATCTTCGACCGCTCTTCCTCATAGGTGGCGCGATCTTTCCGCCCATTTTCAAAGCCCTTATAAGTGTCAAGAGCATCGAGACCGCAGCGAAGGACGCTGTTGATGAGCGCTCCGCGCTAATGAAGAAGGGAATGACTGACGGTCAGGAGGATATCTTGAGTGGCTTGTTTGGAGTTATGAAGACCAAGGGCGAGAAGGTTGATTTTGGCCTCACAGAGATCACGGTTGAAATATACTCAGCGCTGTAGGTCTCATAGTACTTGAGCATCGCATCAAAAGTAGAGCTGTTGTACTGACTTCTCCCCTCTTCAGTATTGCAGGCTCCGACACCACTGCGGCAGCTATTTCGTCAATCTTATATCACCTAATGCGAACGCCTCATGCGTACGAAAAGCTCACGAAAGAGATAGATGACGCTTCAGCATCGGGCCAGCTTTCTCAGCCGCTCGTCAGATACAATGAAGCTTCTAAGCTCCCATATCTAGACGCCTGCTGCAAAGAAGCGATGCGCCTTCATCCGAGCGTTGCCCTGACGATACCACGCAATGTGCCAGCTGGTGGCTACGAGATCAACGGGCAGTTTTTCCCCACCGGAACAAGGGTAGGCGTCAACGCCGCAGTGATACACCGCGATCCGAGAATCTTTGGACAAGACGCCGATGACTTTGTACCCGAACGTTGGCTACTTGGCGACACCACGAACATGGACAGGCACATGTTTCAGTTTGGTGGCGGTTCCCGTACATGCATAGGAAAAAATGTACGTCTTCTCTCGCTGTTTCTTTGTGGCATATCCAGTCCACTTGTAGCTGTTACAACTAACATTCTTCCGCAAGATTTCGCTTTGCGAGATGTACAAGGTCGTACCACAAATTCTCCGTACCTTCAGCCTTTCTCTTTTCGATAGCGCGCAGGACTGGCAGACACATAATTATTGGTTCCATAAAACGAGTGGCATCAAGACGAGAGTTCGAGTACGCTGCCCGAATGAGACTGCTTCCAAGCCTTAAAGGCAGTGCCGAAAAGATGGTTCCGAAAAGAGTCGCACAAGGTTCACAGATCCTTGGCGCTTTCAGCCAAATAATCCCTAAAAGGAAGCCCTTCTTCTCTCTTGACTCACAGCAATACTCGAATCGACAAAGAGATGAGCTTTATTCGACTAAAAACACTTCAAAAAAGACTCTAGTATCAGCAGTCGTCTCCACGTCGTCTCGTTTCGCCATGAGGATGTCTTCCTTGCGGGGTTGGAAGTATACAGATTTGCCCGACCACGCCTTCGACTGTAGAGTTACCGCCGTTTGCTCTGCTAACACGTTAATTCCCTGGTGCTGCATAATTGGGAAACTGAAAGTATGTCTTGGCAAGATGGCTTCGGCTTAAAAGTTCTGTATTCAGTCCAACTTTCTGTCCGGCATCCTTCGTATACTTCGATCGCATTAGTTTTCCCCCACTAGGTTCTCAAAGCGACCTTGCTTTCATCAGCGTTTCACCAAAGTCGGAAAGACACGAATATACCGCTGCTACAACGATTCTACTCAAGAGACAAACGTAATGCCAATCACTACGAGATTCATACTAGAATGACTTCTCTTAAATCATTTTCCTGCACATCTGCAAGTGCCTCGCCCTGCATGATACCGTGAACATACGCCTCGCCAACCAATCTGTACTCACCCGACGATGCGGACGGACGCAAGATCAAAGGAACGTCAGCACCAGTCAGAATCCACACCTCATCTCCTACTTCTAAGACTGGAGGACCCATTCCCAAATCACCACTTCCTGTTACAAATAGTAGCCTTCCCGTAGCTGTCGCTGAAATCTGAAAATCAACATCATCCTTGGTTTTAATTTTGGCTTGATTCATCCTCTTCGTCAGCTCGTCATGGAACTCCTCGATGACCAAGCGATCCTCCGTCTTGTCTCCGCTCTCAGCTCTCCGATACTCGAAGTCGACGAATTCGGGAGGGAAGACAATGCCATCCGTCTCTTTGCACCGCCCAGTGATGCGTTGAAAGGCGGTATACGTGGCTCCCAACAGCAGCTTGGCTTGCTCAAAGTCCATGAGGCCACGGAAGTCTTCTGGTGCAGCGTCTAATGAAGCCTGAGCTTTGTCCCGAAACCCAGTCATATAGTCAGCGTATCGTAAGCTAAATGCAGCGAACACCTGCCGGTAGAGCACAGTTCTCTCAAGCAGCTCCAAGAACGAGCTGCCACATGCCATGGACGCAGGTGTGGTTTCTTCGAATATGTCCAAGAGTATTGTCCTCCAGAGGGTCTCGAATCGTGTCTGCCCTTTCGGCGGGTTTACCTTCTGCAGAAGCAGAGACAACTCTGATATCGCTGCCCACTTGAACGCAACACCAATACTTGAGATTTTCTCGAGCTTGAAACCTCTCAACTGAAGCTTACTACCAGGCAGATATACTGGATTAAGCCACCTAAGCCCCTTGGAGGCAGCAAAGGTTTTGTGTTCGTTGATCAACCTTACTGAATTTTGAACAGTAAAATCTGGCACCCAAGACGGTAGATCGAGTGTCGGTTCCGCGTCGATAGGGTATTTCTTCACCGAGAATATCTTCAAACTCTGCAAATGCCCGAGAAGATATCGCGTCACGTCTACGAAGACTTCTCGAACACCTAAGTGGTAATTCACCATCAGAGGACGTGTCTCTTGTTCCCACGAAAGACCCACAAAAGCGTAGACTTTATCACGAGCGTCACCAGACTCAGTGTATCGATACCACTCCAAAAGCTGCAACAGACTTGGCCGCTTCAGAGTTGATCCGTCTTTGGTCCAGCCATCGAATGTCCCTATGGAAATTCTGACCTCTCGGATAATGGACCCGAGGGTGCTGTCCAGCACGTGTGTCTTCTTCGGTCGATAAAACTTGACGGAACTCTTAGCTGAAGTTAAACCCGAGCTGAAGTCAGCCTCCGTCCGGAAATTTTGTATAAGTGGCTCTGCCATCTTCCTCAGCTGATGAAGCCACCTCGATTGTTGCAAGATCTCAAACGACCCAAGGATAACTTCAACACTCCCAAGCTGTCTGCCACACATGAACCACGGCTCCCGAGCAAGTGCGATCTCCTGAACTATCCAAGCCCTCTTGAACCAAGCACGATTGAGGAAGAGAAATACGCCGATCCAGGACGTATAATCCAGTTTTGATATCCCTAGCTTCTGATATGTTTCATCAGATGAGATGTCAAAACTCCTCAACTCTTTTGGATCTCGTTTCTTTCCTTGACAAAGCTGTGCAATGGTGGCTAGATCATGGAATGCCTGAGCAGATAATTGGTCACCACCACCAAGCCATGCAAATACGAGGCGGGCTTGATGGTAGATACGACTCATCATCATGACTTGAATGCTTTTCTCTTCTAGGTCGTTTTGATTGATACACAAGGCATCGATCCAGAAGAGCCCTGAGCTTTGAGGTGCATCTGGGAACCTGGGATCTTTTTGGTGCGTCAAGTGACTACGAAGCCCTAATAGAGCCGCGTACAAATTTGAGCTGACTGAGACTGCCTTCCCATCCACTTCGATATCGAAGGCACGTGCTGCCCAAGCCTTTTGCGATGAGATATCTTGAGTGCTGAGATAGAGGGTGCAAGGATCACCCCATGTGTACGAGAGAGCGTCGTATACCACGTCATCGTTGAGATCTACGACAACAAGTGAACATCTCACCGGTGGACGGAATAGTTCGAAATCAGAGTAGCTCTCTTCAGAGTTGTCCTCTAACCCTGGGTGTATCTTAAGAAGCCGAATAGACGTAATAGTTGGAAGATCTCGGTAATCGACATTCTTACAGTCCCTCGGCTCCATTCTCTCGCAGCCTTCCGGTGGTCTTATGATCGGCAAGCGTGACTGACGTTGGGGTAACTTCAGATGATTCTCTTTTTTCATGCCCCCAACTTGTGAGAAGAGTGCTGATATTGTTTCTTCATTGTCCCAACGTGGATTGCGACTATTGCCTGGCATCTGGGGTGCCATAGTTCGTGGAGCCAATGGCGTGTGCGATGCTCAAGTTGCAAGAAGAAATGGAGGTGACCAATGTAACGACGTAAGATGACGCGAGAAGTTATTAGTGATAAAGCGGCGGCCTGATGGTCTCACCTTCTAGCTGTTAGCTTGTGGTGACGCGTGTTCTATGGCTTTGCGATGATCGTGGCGTTCCTCTCGCATGTTTCCGGCCCCCAATGATTCGTGACCGACCAATGAGAGTCTTCCAACTTGCGCTCCAGCCTAGAAATTTACGTGACTTGGTATATTGGTTGGTTGCAAATAAAGCACGTAAAACAATACGCGTGCGCTCGTGTCCAAGAAGGTGAGATGTGACCATTATCGTCGCAAGTGGCTGCATGTAGGCGTGGCAGAAGGCTGACCGGTCAGCGAGTGACCAAGCTCAGGAAGGGCTGCATGCAGTGCGGGGCTGCTAGCTATGCACCTGAGAAGGGAAACTAAGGAAACGACTATCGATAATTGGTTAAACAAATACAATACCGCGACCTTGGACGAATCGCAAGAAGAGATCAATTCATGACGTTCAATGACCTTGCGAAAGGAAAAAGCGAAGGCGATGACTGCACCATCACCTCGCTGCGGGAAAGAGGTCGCGCTTGCTGTTGCACTAAAGTTGCGCAAACGTGTAGGACCACTACGATCAGACGAAGCGTTCGTTGTCTAATCTCTATGCAAGTCTTTCAAGATCGAGCTAAATCAGTATCTTGAATTCTCAAAGCAACCCTGCCCTCAGCAGCTTGTTTCCGAACTCCAAAAGGTAGTAATCTGCATACACCAACCCATGATCCGCGTATTTCTTGTGCGCATGCTCATTCCAGTTCGTCGTACTGTTCCTCAGAATACACTCGAAACCTGTTTCTTTGATTTTCAGCTCTGATGCTGTCGCGCCACCATTAACGCCATTCCCATTCACCATAGCCTTGATGGGTGCTTCAAAGTACGCTAGATCGGAGTCGTACGACATGTCTAGAGTCTGAGAAACAATCTGGAGTGCGATATCGAGGAAGTTTGTGTCACTGTTGGCGGACAGTCGAGACGCAGCGGTGGATGAGAGGGATTGGAGTGATTGATGAATGATGAGAAGGCCGTTGGCTGTTATGACACCTGCGGATGCGTCGCGTAGCGGCTCCGTAGGGTCATTTTGTGGCGCGTCGAAATCCCAGCATGGTACCATGGGATGGTGCCACTTGCCTTCGCCTTCTTTTAGCCTCCTTAGAAAGTACTCTGCGCATTTGATCGCTGTTTCGAGATATTTCACGCCTTTCGTCCATGAGTACGTCTGCGCGAATCCCATGATAGCCCAGGCCTGGCCTCGACTCCATGTCGAATCGTCTTTCCAGCCTTGATTCGTCATCTTGGCTTGTGGTCGACCGGTACGTGGATCGAAGTTTACAAGGTGGTAGGAAGAAAAGTCTGGGCGTAGAATCTCGTGGATGATGGAGTCGGCGTGTTGAGTTGCGATATCGATTAGCGATTGGTCATTCTTGATGTGGCCGACGAAGTACAGGAGGTCGAGATCTGTGATGTGTGAGTGAGCAAGATGCAATATAGACATAGGTGGAGTTGATGACTTACTGCACATGCTGTCTATAATGACGAGGAAGTTTGTTGACATGTCTGTGATTGAATAACGATCGTTGATGGCAACATCCCAACTTCTGATTGCCTTCACGCGATCTTCATATCGCGTTGCGAGCGCATACGCGGCGTTGACAACAGACTGTAAACTCTCCTTGTTGCCAGTCAATTCCCAGTCTTTCTGCAAGGCGGGTTGGACAATAAAGCCCATATCGTGGGTATCTGTCCGACTCGACATCTGATTGATAGCGACGCCATAATGCCGTCCTAGCTTCAACAGCTGGTCTTGTATTTGTGATCGGACATGCTCCGGGACTTCAATGGCTTGTGGATATTGTATCGAGCGTTCGAGAAGCGCGTATATGCAACCTGGAAAGAATCCGCATGTCCAGAAGTCCGCTTCTCGCTCTTCGTACCGTCCTGCGTCCGGGCCTACTTGAGGTACGGTGTGGGGATATGATTGTAAAGGTGCCTTAGTTCGTAAGATGAAGCACTTGATATAGGTGCACCTGTTGAGTTGGAGGGATTGTATCGTACCTCTTGTTTCAAGCCTCGTTGTGCAACTTGCACGACCTTCGCCAATACACTCTCTGAGTATATTTGACTAAGGTTAACATCTTTGACTCTAGATACACTTAGTACCAACCTATAGCGTTGACATGAGCCATCGCTTACGTTGCGACCTTTGAAGGCATCTTAATATCCTGTACAGCGCCTACCATTTTATGTTCGCGATCAGAAGTCTTAATGACGTATGCTGTATACAAGATTGTGTTTGTGTACGATGACGCGCGGCGGTCAGTGAAGAGGCAGCGGCTCTACAAAATGTTCGATTGCGGTTGAGCAGAGGAAGGTGCTTGGAAGCAAAGCGAAGAACAGCCAAGATGGTGCTTCTTGCGAAAAAGCCTACATCGAACGACGCGTGAGCTGTCGCGCGTATTCGTGTGGGGCCATTATCGATACCGGGTTATCTCGCGACGAAGGTTCAAATGTCGGGGTGTAGGCTAAATGTGGGATCTGCATTGTACCGATGCCCGCTACCCGGCCGTTTGCACAAGCTCAGGGCGACGCCCGCTACAAGCACGTCATTCTTTTCTTGACTCTTGTGCCTTGCTTGCGCTCGTGATTGCACACTCTTGGACGTGTGGACGGCCTTCCAAACGAGGTATCCTTTCCTGCCACCGTCGTGTTTGTCAAGCCTTGGCAGCGTCGTAAGGTCTAGTGTGGGCTGGGCTTCCTACTCATTTCCCCGCGCCGTAGTATCTTCGAAGTCTGGGGTAGAATTGCTAAGAGATAGATGCGGAACTACTATGGCCGTCAATATCGAAGCGCGCTAGAATGTAGACGATCAGTCTCAACCCAGTCGGCATAAAGACACTGGCATCCATAGCACAAAACAGATTCAGCAATACTTCACTCTACACACCTTCAAGATGCGGTTCGCAGATGCAACTGCAGGACTCCTGCTGGTATCCCTTGCTGCTGCTGCGCCATCGTCGGCGTTGAAGCGTGTAGCTTCAACCCTCCCATTGTCGACGAAAGGACGAGACATCATTGATGCGAACGGCGATGTCTTCCATTTCATGTCGACAAATTGGCCCGGCCACCAAGAAATCATGATCCCTGAAGGTCTCCAACACTCTTCAGTAGAAGATATCGTATCCTGGTTCCCCAAGCTTGGCCTCAACTCAGTCCGTATGCCGTTCGCCATCGAGATGGTGGATGATTATCTCGAGAACAGCCCAGATCAAACTCTCGAGAAGAGTGTCCTGAACGCAATTCCGGGAACCAATGGAACGGATGTATTGAACTCGATTTTGGAGAAGAATCCGCAGTTCACCAAGAACACAACCCGCCTGCAAGTGTGGAATGCCGTTGGTAAGGAATTATCGCGCCAAGGCGTGATCATCCACTTGGACAACCACGTATCGAAGGCATTCTGGTGTTGCGGCGACGACGACGGTAACGGTTGGTTCGGCGAGAAGGATTTTGACGTGGAGAAGTGGAAGCGAGGCTTAGCCTTCATGACTAAGTTTGTGAGTAATAGAGAACAACTCGATCAAGGAGGAGATGCTGACGAACCTAGGGAAAGGAAAACTGGTCGACTTTTGCATCGATAGGATTACGCAATGAACTGCGTGCTGCCAAGGTGGCTGAGCCTGTCGACTGGTATACGTGGTACATCCACATGACTGCTGCTGCCGATGCCGTCCATGAAGCGGATCCCGATGCTCTGATCTTCTTCTCTGGTCTCTCGTACGATACGTACATTGACCCGATCCCTCTAGGTAAGACACTCAACGGTACCGCCGGCACGTCGACTGCCAACAAGACCGCCAAGTTCGTCCCGGACAGCTTTGCCTGGAAGGACAAAATCGTTCTGGAGATCCACAAATACGATTTTGAAGCCACCCAAGACGATTGCGCAACCTTCAAGAGGAAGTGGTATCAAAAGGGTTTCCAAGCAGTCAACCCCGACGACCCAGTGACCAAATACACCTTCCCGATGGTCATATCAGAATGGGGTTTCATCCATAATGGAACTTACTGGAACCAGACCACCTACGCGAAATGCTTGGTGGAGATGGTGAAGGAATACCAGGTTAGTTGGCAGCATTGGGAACTGTCGGGTAGCTTCTATCTCCAGACGCGTCCGAACAGAACGCCGAACACGCTCATTGGGGCTGATGAGGCTTGGGGTCTGTTGAACTATGATTGGACTGCCATTCGATCGCCCATTACCTTGGAGAACAGCTTGTACAAGATGATTGAGGCGTTGAAATGATGGACGGGCATAGCATGTAGTATGTAGGGAACGACCTGTAAAAGTAATAGGACGATATCAAAGCTCCTACAGTCTCTTGCGTGTATGTTGTATTGAATGACGTTCTTCGCGTAACGATCGGTGCGATCTGACGTTTGCGCAGTCGTTATGCATAACGTTTTGCGGTACCAACGGGTTGTTGTAAGATGAATCGGCACTTTACACTTGTGCAACATACTTCCGTCGACTCAAAGTGATGAGAGGGCAGTGTGATCATGAAATGACGCGTGCCAGAAGTTGTGTGAGAAGGTGTCCGCGTATGTGCCGCGTGAAGGCGCGCCATCCCTTGAGGTCAGTGCGCTCGTTCATGACGTCATACTTCTGTCTTTCAGCACGCATGCATCTGCACATGTCGCTTGGAGGAACTTGGAGATACGATATGTACAAAGCCGATACATATTGGAAGTTTTTCCGACGATTACTATTCGTTTTTAGGCGAACAATGGGCCGAAACTGCGTGTCTCTTGCAGCCACAGACACGCCTTGGCACGACTCATGGACCGCCATGCGTACTCCCAGGACCAAGTTGAGCTTTATTCCATCACCCCACAGTCTCCCCATGCTCTTGGCTATCTCTCTATCGCCAGATGCATCTCGGCCAACGGAACATTTCCCCCTTCAGCACTCGTTCGTGCAGTTTGCCCCAGAAATGCCCGCCCCCGCACTCGACCATCCGTATCCAGCAATAACCCGATGCCCGTGAAGGATCCGTCCAGTCGCTTACCAGCCTTGATATTGATCCATGCGGGAGCTACATATTCACCTGTTCTTCGGGTTTCGACGACCGTTAGTGTTATAAGCACGAGGATCCCAACTCTGCTATCTGCATCCGAGGTCGTGCCGTCAACACTTTGATCTGACGAGCGCAAGTCAACATGGCCAGCACGCAGCCCAACGACGAGACTGCTGGCGTCGCCAACAGGACTGGCGAGTTCGATACTAACGTTATCGCGCCCGCTGAAGCTCCAAAGAGGTCGCCATGGAAAGCGTGGATGTACCTCTGGGAATGGTATCCTAAGCACTATCCTGAGGAGGAGAGGAAGCTACTGAGAAAGATGGATGCTTGTCTTTTGACATTCTGTTCATTCATGTGTAAGATACCCTACTGACACCATTACATGTATAATGTTAACGCCGCTAGTCTTCCTCAAATGGCTCGACTCCTCCAACATCAAGAACGCCTACGTATCGGGCATGAAAGAAGAGCTCAGCCTCTACGGAAACGAGTACTCGCTTTTCGATACCTTCTATAATATCGGATACCTCGTCTTCCAAGTTCCGTCCCTACTCTTGCTATCCCGACCGAAGATTGCCAAGTACTATCTACCGACCATGGAAGTGCTTTGGTCAATCGTCACCTTCTGCCAAAGTCAGATGCGCAGCCGAAACGACATCTATGGTACCCGGTTCTTGCTGGGTCTGCTCGAGACACCAGTGGCATCTGGCACGACCTATGTGCTTGGCTCCTGGTACCGACCTGAAGAGGTCTTCAAACGTACAGGAGTCTGGTATGTGTCTAACAACATCGCTGTGATGTTTGGTGGTTACCTACAAGCTGCTGCGTACAAAAATCTCAACGGGTGAGTCATCTTTTCAGCGGGCAGTCAACAGTCGCTAATACAGTTCAGTGTCGGTGGTATGTCAGGTTGGCGTTGGCTATTCATAATCGATGGGGTAATTTCTCTACCCATTGCACTTGCAGGCTTTCTCATCTTCCCCGGTCTACCAAGTAGCGCAAAGCCATGGTGGCTGACACCCAAAGAGCATGCACTAGCTCGATCGCGCATGGCCAATGCCGGTGTTGCGCCTAGCAAAGAGCTTAGCTGGACCGTTGCAAAGCGCACATTCATGCGATGGGAGTTCTATATGGGTGTACTATGCTATACCTTGTAAGCCTTAACCCATCTTATCTGTTACGATATACTAACATTCCTATAGCTTCCTTTCGTCTTCTTACCCTCACGGTCAAATGGCTATTTGGCTTAAAGATCTTGCTGCCAAGTACCCAGGTGCATACACCGTTCCACAAATCAACACTATCCCCACTGGCGCTCAGGGTGTCTCCGTCTTCGCCGCGCTTCTCGCCACATCCCTGTGCATGGTCTACCCGCTCTGGTCTATCTTCTCTATCGTCCAAACAATCTACATCGTCGCCAACATTTCTCTCCTCATCTGGAACATACCCAAAGGCTACCATTTTGCCTGCTACTACCTGCTCGGAGTCTCCGCCGCCGTTACGCCCATTCTCATGCCGTTCATCAACATGGCGCTGCGCGACGATGCTGAGGCGCGTGCTGTCACTGTCGGTGCTATGTTGACAGCTGGCTGGGCTGTCTTCTCGTTCTACCCTATCACAGTATTCCCCATTGTCGAGGGCCCAAAGTGGACCAAAGGGTACGCGGTAAATATTTGCTTCATTGTTGGATGTTGGGCTACTTTCTTGATCATGCAATATCTGTATAAGAAGACCGAGAACAAGAAACAAAGTATGATGGTTCGGGAAGTAGCGAAAGATCAGGAAGACTTGGCGGGTCTGGATATCAAGGAGGCATCGGAAGTCGAGCATGCAGAGGTCAGGAAGTGATGCGCAGTAGCGATTACGATGTAAACGTGGAGTTTTGACAGCAAAGTACAATGCCCATGATGTAATCTATCAACCCGTCACCATGGTACGTACCTAACAATACGTAGTGAGCTTTTTGACTTTGCACAGACTTGCATCGCGCAGGTGCCGAAACCAACCGCGCGATCCGGCACTAAGGTGTAGCGTGTAGATCCCCCGCATTCCACACCCGCCGCTCGAGGTGCCGTTTAAGAAGGCCTTCAAAAGCACAGTTAGCGCTATTACTCTCCTGCAGGATACGCTCATAGCCCTGCCTCGTGGATATGCAGAGCCAAAAAGCATGTTTTGTCTGCATCTTTTGCTCACGTGAATTTACCAGAAGGTGCGCTCCTCCGTCATGAGCCGACCGCTTACTGACTATGAACACAGCGATGCATTGAAACGTCACTGGAACTCGTGCAGTGTTCGAAGAGCTCACAGTTGTCCCATTCCGACGGTTAAGGCGAGAGCGCGGGGACGTAAAACGCGGGCCTGCGACTTATGCTGTCAGTTGAAGAAAGCTTGTAACCTTTCCCAACCATGCGCGTTATGTGCTTCACGAAACCAAGTCTGCGAGTATAGCCGACCGCAAAAGCTAAGCCGTGATTTGACAGCAGAGCTTCAGTCCAACATGAACGAGGTGGATGCTTACAGCACGGAGACCAACGATACGGTGGAATGTGGCGTGGATGAAGACCTAGTCATACCTCGCCGGGATGTTGATACTGGATTCGATATGCGTGTATATGAATCGGTATTCCAGACTTTAGATGACACCGTCGATCACCCGGAGACCACCATTGCCAATTCTGACAATGACATAGAATTAACGCTGCCGTCTTCTCTGCGCAATCCAGGTCGTCGCATGCAACTCACCTCCTGGAATAACCCCGGTTCACTGTTAATCGAGCACAACGCCATTGCCCCGTTTTGCCGGCGTCCAACACAACTTGATATCAACGTGTTGATCGAGTTCCCCTTTCTTGACAACTTTACTAAGGCGACTGGCTTTGTGAGCTCATTTGGCTGTGGCACCAAGCAGCAAAGACTCTCCATCACACTGGACCCAATCAGGGCGAACCCGAGCGAGAACGCCTCACCTAGGGAAGAAAAAATGCTAAACACGGCTACGCACTGGGTTGAGATCGCCCGAAACATGCTGGTTCAAGGGAGTGAGGACACAGCTGATCCAGGTGTGTCACTGTACGTGACGCATAGGATAGTTGATCAAATTCGAGAGACAGCAATAAAACAACATCACCGCGGTTCTGCTGGCATCCACTGGTCGACTTCCGTAGAAGCCCTTTGTTACGAGTTCTTCAATCCGAAGAACCTAGACAAGTGTTTAGCGCTCTTTTGGTCTTGCTGGTATCCGAACTGGCCCACGATACATGCACCGACTTTCAAGATGGCAGAGAAGTCGCCGTCACTCATTGCTGTAATGGCTCTTGTTGGTGCTTGCTTGTCGGCGGAAGATCGCGTTGGCGCCTCAGCTCAAGTCTGGTTTGACTTGGTCGAGGACCTCGTATACAGTGATGCCGCTTTCGACGATCAGGACATTTCGAACACGTGGAAGGAACCAACAGATACTGATCGTCGAGGCGCACACCTGCAAACTCTCCAAGCCGCTTACTGTGTTTGCCTATATCAGACTTGGGAGGGAAGTAAGCGGAGTAAAAGACGCGTTCTGCGGCAAAGGTCTAATGATCTCGTTTATGTGAGTGATCGCTATCACTAGTCGATGTTATACTGATGGTGATTAAGCTAGCACGAGATATAGGACTAGATCAAGCTTCACTCAGATCGATCGATACATCTGACCCAGCTGGTTTTGACTGGGAGGAATACGCTCTTCGAGAGTCGCTCATTCGGTATTGGTCGACCTCGCATTTAAGTTCCAACGCTGACTTGATCCGATAGCATCTGTTCGTATATCTGCAACATCGATGCCAGTTACGCCCTATTTTTCCGCCACGTACCTCGTACCACTTTGTCTGAACTGGTCATGGAGATGTCGTCCCCGGAATCTTGCTTTCAAGCTTCTTCAAAAGAAAAGTGCTTCATTGAACTCAAGGCCTGGCGTGAGAGGATGGGCATCGATGCGACCAACATGAACGTCTTGAGTGCCGTTATTGCGCTTTGTGATAACGTGATCATGATAACGCCAGCGATGCGTCGCACTTTTGCTAATCTTAGTGTCCTCAACATGTTCACCATCGTTCACGCACTATATCTGCAGGTATATAACCTGGAAAACTCCGCAATGACTGCACCAGATACAACACGAATGACCTCAGTCGAGAACGCATTGCGGAATTGGCAGCAATTATGGCCGTCGCATACGCGAGACATGGAGTTAGTTGATCTATTGGGAAAGGAGAGTGATTTGTCGACGATGTGGCAGCGTATTGGCTTCATGAGATATGCACCTGAGTACTGGCTGGTAGCATATTCGACAGTAAAGAAGATGTATAAGCAGAACGATGGAATCTCTCAGGTTTCAGAAACTGCCATCACTGTTGGAAATCACGACATGATCGAGGCACGAAGGCTGATCGCTGAGCTCAGAAGCGGAGCCATTGTTCCCATTGTGGATAGCTAGAACATTCAGCTAATTTTCCAATCGCTTGTCATTTGCCCCAAACCCCCACTGTCATTAGTGACGGCAGCCTTTAAGCTCCGTGTTTCTCTGGAAAAGGCAGGTGGCTGAGCAAGCAGCCGCTCGAGATGCAGTAAAAGAAGGTCTTTCGTTATCGCGCCGGCCTCGGGTACCCTAGGCATTGCCGGTATCGCCTCTGATTCATAGTCTTTACAAGACTTCTCACATTGTTTTCTGACGTTATTGCGCCTCTTCGACGAACATGACCATGAATATTTCTACCACAACTACGCAAGCCTTCTGTTATGCCTTTGAACCCACCAGCCCGAATTTGAGATCCTGCGCCCATCTCGGCCAGAACCGAAGCAGCGAATCTCGCTGATGGTGCTTTGGAATACAGATCATGCCGCTTTTACCGTTCAAAACCTGGTCTACCACCGCATCTATCACCGGCTCTGGCGGGTCTTCTGTAATGCCCAACTTCGTTAGTATGCCATTCTTGTCTATCCCCGTCTTGTGCCATCCCGGGTGGATAGAGGTGTTACAGATAGATGAACCACCAGGATAACGTGTGAGACATTCAGCCCGAAGACCCTCAGTGAGGTACAAGGCACCGATCTTCGAGATACAGTAGTTGACCATATTAGGGGGGACGACAAAAGATGCCATGGAGGCTATGGAAACGACATGCCCTTTCTCCTGTGCGAGCATAGCTGGAAGGAAAGCGCGTATGAGGACCATTTGTGATAAGAGGTTAACTCGAAACAGCCTCTCATCCTCAGCGTTGGTTGTCTGCTTACCGTCAGCCTTTTTGATGCAAAGATCGGGATTTAGCGAACTCTGTCTTACCTCGAGCAATGTTTTGCCAATCCCATATCCAGCATTGTTTATCAGCACGCTGATCGTCCCGAAGTCCTTCTTGACTTGTTCGCACACGGTTTCAAGTGCCGATATGTCGCCAACGTCACACTGGTAGAAGTGAACATTCGGCAGCGCCTCCAAGTCTGCGGGTAGCGGCGACCTGTTTAACGCGATGATCCGCGCATGTTTGGACAATCCCATAGCCATTAGGTAACCAAAGCCGCTGCTTGCACCTGTGATAAGTATCACCTCTTTCTTCTCCGGCCCGAATTGCCACTCAGCTCCTGATCTTTTGAACGTCCAGTTGTTCCATGCCAGACGGTTCAAAGCCTCGTTGATACGACGCAGGACACCCGCCGTAGTGAGTACTTTGAGAGCTGTGACTACTGCCGCAAGCCTTGCAATACTCTCGGGATCATTGGCAAAGAGAGATGAGGTGAATCCGAAAGGCGCGAGGAGCTGCGCGCGAAGCTGGGTACTACCACGAGTCAACAGACACAGAAGTCCACCAGTGACGAGAGGCTCGCTGGCAGCTTGAGTTAGACCAGATAGTATCGTTGACAATATCGTGGGAGGCTTGTTGACTCTGATTGATTGGGCAAGCGACATGGTTGCGTGGGATACAGGTGGTAAGATTCCTTATAGTTTTTGAAGTCGAAATAGATCGAAAGATGGATTGGAGGATACCCAACCGTCCAGCTAACTTCTAAGCTTTATAGAATAGCTTTCATGCGCCGAAAGTCCAGGATTTCGAAGCAACCACGCTCTGACTGTTTATCATCGATGCATAGGTCTCCACTAACATGTGGTATGAATACTAATCCTCAGTCTTGTGAGGCACCTTACATTTCATTCCACACTTACCTCCTGCTTGTAGCATAGCGTCAAGACGGATATGCCAATCGGATTCTTGTGGTTGTGATGTGGGTGCTACTTCTGTTGCACTCTTATCCACCTGCGTTTCAAACAACAGGACTGATTCTGTGTGTGCCATTGCGCACACGTCCCATGTGGGTTTTCGCCTTAATTGCGGTATTGAACCCACGGCGTTTACCTTGACCTAGACGAGCTGCAGCGAAACAAAACTAAAGCTATCCAATCATTCCGCTCCTCAGAGCACAAACCAATGATCGTTACCATACGAATGAGGCCTTCAACGGTCCCAAAGGCACATTCTGTATTCTCTTTGTGAGCCATTGTTGCTTGTTCGTTTACGACGCGCGGATCGGCTGAGGATTTGCATATTTGTGGGGTCGTCGGCCATACTCTTGCGAACATGATGGCAAACCACCCGGCCTCTATAGACGATGCTTCCGTCGACTAACCTTCACGACTGTGCACTAGCGTCCGAGGCCCAACGTTGGTCTCCGTCTTGCTTGTACATCAATGGTTGACGAGTAAAAGGATCGTCGGCATATGAATTTTGGTAGTATGCACTCAAGTCGCGGTGATGCTTGGGTGCGAGCATCTTGCCACACAGCGTACTGTTTAGTGTTTTAGTTTTAGGTCTCTTCTCTCAAAGTCCGCATAGTCGTTGCCCTCGCGCTGCTTGCTGCCAAGTGCTGTTGCGTAGTCAAACATGTAGATTGGTATTCTTGGTGCTGCATGCCGCTAGGCATGTCAAAAAGGCTGGCAGAGGTGCAAACGTGCCCATCAGGTATGGCAAGACATCGGGGCGTTGTCGGACGTGATATGTGGAGATGAATGTATGTTTAAGTCTACCTAGCTAGCTGAAATAGGACGAGCCCACTATATACCCGCCATGCACCATGCTTGGCAGTCATGCGACGACGGAGCTTCGGAGGCCGCTTGGCCGAGAGACAGTCTGCAAGCAACTCGATAAACACCGGTTTCCCCAATCCATGTCTAACTAATTGACGCCCACGTTCTCGCTATTGTATATATAACGCCACTAGAGCACAACATAGCTTCAGCTACGAGAAAGCTGTTGCCTGGTCGCTGTTGTTGGGCGTCATTAGTGCCCCGCACTTTACCCTGCATAGTCGATAGAAGCACGACGACTGAGCTACTGCCAGATATCCCCCACATACGTGATGCAGAGTCGACATGACATCCAAATATGGCGACATACCTCGATATCTGCGCTACAAAGACGCAGGTGAAGGTTTGGACCATGGTTGGGACTATGAGCTCGAAAGAGCTAACCAGATACTTCACACTCGCATCGTCAGAATGCATCGGGATAAGCTTTGCATAGGCTGTGCTCGCTTTGACTGGTTGAAAACACACTTCTACTCGCGCGATGTTCATTGGATGGATTGGGATCATAAAAGGGCGGGCCGAAAGATCGATAGCGTATATTACCGATATGCTAAAGACTATCATAATCACCGCGACCTAGAAAACGTCCGAGACGACGTGATCTGGCCTCGATTCGAAATTGTAGCAGGGGCACGCCGAGAAGCAAAGTGGTTAGCGAAGGATCCTAGGTTCCGATGGCGACTTCGAAAGGACCAAGTCCACCAATGTCAGCTCTGTGATGTATTGTGGGATAAGGCAGAAGCTGCAGGGGAATTTGCAACACGATATGACGGTAGCAACCCGGAATTTCTCAATATCCTGCTCGAGGGCGGTCCAGTGTTTGAGGACGACGGAGAACATCAATGTATTGTCGTAAGTTCATGGTAATCGCATACCTTGTGTAACCATCGCTGATGACTGGAATGGCAGGCTTGGCCCCGTTTTGAGACGGAGGCAGAGTGTGCAACTAACGGGTTCAAGGTTTACTTATCGAGCAACGAAGATCCAGGTTACCCGACCGAGACTTCATATTGCATCCGCCCTTTCATCGAAGAGATGCCTCACCAGCTCAAAGATTTACCACATTGTTGCTTAAAGAAGCGCCGTGTGGGCACGAATGTCAATTTCGATCTTGTGATAGGATGGCTGAAGGTGTGTGATGAAACGCACGAACATACCATAAGCCCCGTTCACTCCATATCGGCGCTAAAAGATCTTCGGTTCATTGATACTAAAAGTCGATGTGTTGTAGAGCAAGACCAGCTCGTGCGCTATGCAGCACTCAGCTATACCTGGGGCTCAGAACAACAGTGCTGTTTGAAACAAGAGAACGTAGAAGTCCTGAAAAAACCCGGCTCACTGGATCGCACCGATATAGCAATTAGAAAGGTAATTGTTGATGCGATCGAGGTATGCGTGAAGGCAGATATCCCATTTCTGTGGGTAGATGCTCTCTGCATCGTCCAGGACGACGAACACGGCAAGATTTCTCAGATCCGAAACATGGACACTGTCTACTCCAACGCCTACGTAACCATCGTTCAAGCAGCAGAGGAACTAACGAATTCTGATCAAAGGCCACGTGATCAAAACTCAACTGTGGGTCTGCCTGGAGTGTCCACACCATTTACTCCAATCGAGCCAAGCTTTACTGTAGATGGAGTTTCGTACTTGGTCGATGACAACGACGTTTACAGAAGGATTAATGAAAACCTTTCAACCTCTAGGTGGTTCTCTCGCGGCTGGTAAGTGGAGCCGTGTTACCTCTATTTCAACGAGATACTAAGTGCTTTCGTCCTTCTTCTAGGACCTTCCAAGAGCTCGCGCTTTCGCATCGAGTCCTCCTGTTCATTCCCGAAGAAGTAGTCTTCTACTGTTTAAACGGTGTGGCTTGCGAGAGTGTGTCCCTTGGCGATGACTTGTATAGAACCCTTCCGCCAATGGAGCAATCCGGTCTATATCAGGAGTCCAGTATTCAAATTTGCGGCTTCCTGCACAAAATGCTGACCAAGGATACAATATTAACCAAGCTTATAGAGCAGTATGAGCAGAGTTACTCTCAGCTACTCAGCTTCTATATCGGAAGAAGTTTGACTTACGATACTGATGTACTCAATGCGTTCTCTGGGATCATCAACGCACAGTCTGTTTCGCTAGGCCACTTTGAATCGGGTATGCCGCTGCGTTTATTTGCAAGAGCGTTATTCTGGGCGGTATATCCCGAATCCGGCCCACTAAGCCGGCAAAGCGGATTTCCTTCCTGGTCTTGGGTCGGCTGGAAACTCGAGGTCAACTCTCCAAAGACTGCATTATCTAACGGTAGTTACAAAGATGTGCTGAGTCGTGGTTACTGGACCCTTGTGCAGATATATTTGTGCACTGGATCTGAAAATCTTGCTCTTCTTCTGGGTCAATTTGATTTCGCCAACGGCATCGAGGGATACTGTACCCGCTCTATCGAGCGTTACAACGGGCTTTCATCTACACCACCTCTTCCCACCGAGCCTTGTGTTGAAGAAGCGTCGCTCTTCCACGTATCACGTAATGAGAGCCCACAAACGTCACTTATATTCTGGACTCATGTTGCGCGCCTGAATCTGTGGTCCCCAACCGAAAGTGGTATCCTCCCTGAGGTGTATATGGATCGTCCCATAATCAGTACAAGGGTCATGGAAGAAAAGAGCCTGGAAGTCGAAGTAGCTCTAATCGCAATCACCCGTAGAATATCTTTCTTTGAAGATGTTCAAAGTGAGGGATGGAAGCAGCCCTGGCGATTTGCAGACAAGGAACTGGAACTTAGTGGCATAATTATCGAACGTTGGCGGGGCCTAGCACGACGTATCGGTGTTGTGCATAGTGTTGGCATGAAGCAGTGGGTAGCTGCGAACCCTCAGAAGGAACTTCTGGTACTCGCATAGATGATCTGTCGCTTGTTGGACTGTCCTTGCTATTGTGTCAGCAAGGTAACAGGGAAAAGCAAGGGACGTAGCGAAAACCTGACGTTGATCCTATCGCGTAGTGGAGAATACATACCCCGCTGCCATTATTAGACTGCCAGACTATCATCATGGGAAAATTTGCATTCCCCATCTAAGATAATGCAACATGAACCGGAAATCCGATGTTTGCTCAGGATGATGTACTTCTGTCGTGTTGGCGGCAGCCTCCGCAGCCAATCAGCCCAGCCGCAACACCCAATCAGACCTACCAGTGCCCAGCCCTGTGTCTCCACTGCCCCGCATTCCGGATGCCGGATGCAAGCTAGCAACATGGCAGGACCCACTCAGCTCGCGCAGCCAGCCGTGCCTGCATGTGCGTGCCAACATCGTGAGATGCTGCTTCTTGTCTTGCGTGGTGGCGAGTCAAGTAAGCTAATCGTTGCCAAATTTCGTGCCGTGTCTGTCGTCACGCGCTTGCTGCCAGGATTTGGCCCTGATCAGCTGCAGCGGTTTCGCATAGCTTCTCAACGAATTGAGAAGCGGGATGGCCGCGGAAGTCACGATGCTTTGGAAGGAAGCCAAGGTGAAGGAAGGGGGAGGTACGCGTATGAGCTGCAATTACATCATGCCTGCTGTGCAACGTATACATGTCAGCTTGTGCACGCTCCGGCTCTTGCTGCGAGACACTGATACCATTCTCTCTTTCTCTCTGTCCTCATTTCATCTTCTGTACGATTTGCCTCATCAGACAAGAAAGCGACAGCGACAATGACATCTCTTCGCTCCTCAAGAATGCTGCTTCGCCGATTCGTACGCCCAGCTCCGCCTGCGTTCCGCTCTCAGCCTTTCACAGCTCCGCCCCAACGCCGAACCCTCGCATCACACCAAGACGCAACCTACCCCCAAGTTCCATACGAAAAGGCTGAGAGTGTTGGAGAAAAGAGATTCAGCCAGTTCGACCTCGACGGGAAAGTGTTTGTGGTTACAGGTGCAGCATGCCGTCCTCCTCCCTTGTGCAAAGCAGACAAAACGCTTTTGTAGCCCGTGTTAACGAATAAACAGGTGGAGGTCGTGGACTAGGACTATGCATGGCTGAAGGGCTCGTAGAAGCTGGTGGCAAGGTGTACTGTCTCGACCGGCTGCCAGAGCCTCCCCAAGTGTTCCAAGAAGCCCAGACACGGCTCAAGAGCAATCACGGTGCCAGTCTGGAGTACCATAACGTGGATGTGACGCACGAGGAGGCGATGCGGAAGTGCATCGGGGATATTGCATCGAGGCATCAACGGCTCGATGGCCTTATCGCAGGTACGGGTCAGTCAATGCTATTAGAAGTAACATACTAACCATTTCACCCTACAGCCGCCGGCATCCAGCAAGTAACGCCGGCTATCGAGTTCCAGAAGAAAGACATTCAAAAAATGTTAGACGTCAACTACACTGGCGTGTTCCTAGCAGCACGGGAATGCGCCCGTCAGATGATGCAATACAAGATCCAGGGATCGATCTGCCTCGTCGCAAGCATGAGCGGAACCATCGCCAACCGCGGTTTCATCGCACCTGTCTACAACTCGTCCAAGGCAGCGGTGGTACAACTAGCACGGAACCTAGCCATGGAGTGGGGAAGGAAGAACCCAGACGGCTCAGGTGGTATTCGAGTCAATTCTTTGAGCCCCGGTCACATCGTTACGCCGATGGTGCAGGCCAACTTCGACAAGGGCGAGGCGAATCGCGAGGAATGGGAGAATAACAGTATGCTGGGTCGGCTCAGCACGCCGGAAGAGTACAAGGCTGCGGGCTTGTTCATGTTAAGCAAGGCAAGCAGCTACATGACTGGGCATGATCTGAAGCTAGATGGTGGTACTACCGCGTGGTAAAAGGGCTGTCAGGCGACGTGTAGTCTACCGTACGGTTCGAGCATTCTCAGCGACCAGTCTGGCGTCAAGGTTAACGAATTATGACGAGTATGATGTATTTGTTTCTTCCAATTCTGCTTGGTATGACTCTGTGAAGGTGGTGATGCTTTCTGCCCTAGCAGTGTGAAAAGTGATGATGGAGAGCGCACGCTACGCTCCTGCCAATGGCCGCTCAGGGTCCGCACGCGCCTTCCCCACTCAACGCTAGCTTACAATCGGACCATCTGTCCTTCCGCGCATCCCTCGCGACAGCTGTACATTTCCCAAAGCCACGCAAGAGCGCGGAACAACTCGAGCCTGCAAGCGCTGCAGCTCTACAAACACAACTCTTTCACCATGGACCGGTTAGCACGTCTCCTCAGCTGCGTGCTGCTCGCCCTCCTCCCCCTCACCGCAGCCCTCAAATTCGATCTCCACCCCGTTGCAGCACACGACTCAGCCAAGTACGAGCGATGCATTAGGAACTTTGTTGCGAGGGAACAATTGGTTGTTGTCACGGTGATTATGGACGGATATCGGGGGGATGGACAGAGGGTGGATATGCATGTACGTTGCAACGACTAGATTCAACACCAATGCTCGCATGCGAGCAATGCGAACACAATAAGGATATATACTGACAATGCACAATTAGATCCGCGACGCAATGGGCAACGACTACCACCGTCCCAAAGACGTGGTAGGCGAGAACCGCTACGCCTTCACCTCGCACGCCGACTCTGCCTTTGACGTCTGCTTCGAAAACATCTTCACCTCGTCCGGCTCCTCCAAGTCCATCACCCCGCGCCACGTCGAGCTCGACATTGACATTGGCGCCGATGCCAAGGACTGGAATGCCATTGGAGCCGCCGACAAGCTGAAGCCTGTTGAGGCGGAGCTCAGGAGGATCGAGGAGGTTGTTGGAGAGATTGTCACGGAGATGGATTACCTGAGGAGTCGCGAGCAGAAGCTTAGGGATACCAATGAGAGCACTAATGAGAGGGTCAAGTGGTTTGCGTTGGGTACTATGGGTATGCTTGTTGGGCTTGGGGCTTGGCAGGTTGTGTACCTTCGTGCCTACTTCAGGAGCAAGCATCTCATCTAGAGTAATGCGCAGTGGCTTTGGATGGTTCGGAGGGCTGAGAGCGTTTTGGTTAAAAGAGAGACTTTGGCGACCCGGTGTGTATGGATGGGTACGATACGAGCATGGAAGCTTTATGGATTGCATACTTCACACACGACTGGAGCGGCGTTGGTAGGACTTATCCAGATTTCAAACTTGTTCACAGTAACTCACATGTTCTCTGCCTCTAATGGCTCCCGACTGACAGTGTACTAATGTCTAGTCGGCTTATACATTGCTAGAGGTACAGCCAGTCCGCAAACACTAAAGACATACACATTGCGAAAGAAAAGACACGTGCAACAGAGCCTGTCTATCCCTGCTTGATAGCCTCGACCTCCAACTCGATCAGCATTTGCGGAAACGCCAAATGCGGCACCGCAACCGCCGTCCAACATGGCCGATGCCCCGGGATTCCCTCCTTGAGCGCCTTGACTAGCGAATCCCAACTTGACCGGATATCAGTGTGGTAGCTCCTCAGATGGTATACATCCTCCCAGCCACGTAGTCCCGCGGCTTTCAACACTAGATCCACGTTCTTCATTGCGATGGCTATTTGCTCGTCGCTGTTGTTGGCGTCGAGGGCGCCGGTGGTGGGGTCCCAGCCGCCTTGGCCCGAACACTTTATGATACCGTTGGGCAGGGCGACGGCCATGGAGAAGTGACTTTTGTCTGAGAATTTTTGGGAGGCGCCGGGAGGGTTGGTGTAGGTCAGGGAGGACATGATTAGGTTGGATAAGGTGGATGGTTGAACTGGAGTGTGTCAGGAGATTCTTGCTACTTGCGAATTGGGAGCAAGGTACCTACTTGGGTTAATGAACGAGCAGACCGAGATATGTGTGTAACGGTGTGATGTCGACGTTCAAAAAAAAATATCAAAGTGTTTGTCCAGGTGGTGTGGAGAACAGTTATCCTGCGATCGAGCAACCAGAGCGACACCTTCTTTTATATTGCTTAACTTGAGATCAAGGTCGACGTTATTTAGTCCCACTAGGTGACTAATCCGTCCCTTAGTCTTCGTGCCATCAGGTTATCTCTATCGGTGATGCAGAATGCTCGTCGTTGGAGAAGTCGGCCCGAGAAGTTGGAGATAGACACCGTGAGAGATGCTAGAATTCTGCAGTGCCGATCCAGTTTTATTCTGCATTTCCTGGTATCGCGTGACCATCCCTGGGAAGCTATGATGTCCACTTGGTCTACTCCATCATAGTATCTTCTTCGGTGCCCACAGACCGTGCGTATTGGCCGAGAGCCTGCCCAAGCGTACGTGCAAACGGCTTCTCACTCAAACTTACCAGCACGTGGCTCCAGTATAGCAAGACAGACTTTGCGAGTACCTTCGTGTTCGTAAAATCCGGCTGGCCATCCGAAACATCCAAAGAGGACCACGCCATCGATAGAGCTCCCCTGAGATCCTCGATGATGACCTGACAGGCTTGATTGCCACTGCTTTCGACTGCCGCTTTCTTGATCCATGCACATAGAAACAGAGCAGATTCGAAGATCAAGAGTACATTCCACAGTGTCCAAGTATTAGCGTGGTAGCGAAGGAAGAATGCGAAGCCGGTATTTGCAGGATCCTCGAAGAGATGGACCGAGGCGCCCACGTCACACAAGAGCACATCGTCGCTCAGTGATTTCGGGAAAACATATTGCTGATCATGAAGGTATAGTAGCATCTCTGCCGCCTCCTCAGTCTTGTACATAGCCGAATCTATCACCAACCAATGTCTGATACTTTCAAGATGCACAAGACTTTCCGTCTTTTGTCTTTGACGTTGAAACTTATTGGTTTCTGTCATCGAAGCGAATCTTACGCGAGCTCCGGTGAGCGCTATAGCATCTCTGATTGTTCGGATGAGTAAGTGCGGCGCAAACAAACTGTGTCTCAGGGAAGCCACTCACTTGTATCTTGCTTCTTCCTTCGATATGTCATCATGAGCCCTGAAAAGCGCTCTCGCTTCTCTGCTCACACAGAGGTAATGGGTGAGGAATGCGAGTATTACAAAAACTTGAAATATGTCTAGACTGCTGAGCATAGTAGCACGTCCGTCGTACGGTATCCCTAGTAATTGGTTGATGAATTCCAAGATGTGTTCACCTTGCAAAGGTCGGGACGTGTTGTTGCGGTCAAGATCTGCGTGTCGCAACGTCTCCCAGCTATCCGCTAAACATGGAAATCGGAAACGAACGTTAGCAGGCCATGCCATGATAGAGGAATCAAAAACAAAACTGTGTATCGCTATGGCACAGGCACCGAAGGCTTGGCTCCTTCTCTCCAACTCCTCGATCAGCCATTGTGAATATGATGTCGACGGTGATGATTCGACATTCTTGGCACCGACTTCAAAACATAGCTGAAGTGCATAGTGAAATCGGCGAAGCTCGTCCATGGTGTTTGCAGGTAACTCGATCGTGATGAAATCAATAAGTAGCACAAACGCGCTTGTCAGCTGCCAGGATAGACTAAGAATGGGTTAGCACGACTCTTCGATGCCGCTCTGGAAAATTTTAAACATGCCGTTCAGGTGATTCCGTTGTCCACGTGTGTAGAGCTGCGCTTTTACTTGCTGAGAACAGTGCTCTTGCGCTTTTGTACTCGAGAAGATGTAACGCTCCCAATGCAAACATAGCAGTGCGCAAGGCGAATTCCATGCTTGTGAGTTCCATGGTGGGATGAATCAAGGCTGAATTGGTGTGGAAGTGGAAGGATTGTCGATATCGCTGGCAAGCTTGAGTAGACGGTGGTACAAACTTTGGCTCTCTCTCCTGGTACTCCTGCCACATACTGTCTGTCGTATTGGACGAGATGGCGGATAAGCCACTCGGATTAGTGTTAGAATGCGTTGGCAGTGGTCCAGTCCTTGTCAGCGGGGTGATAGAGTTGGAATCTTCGGGCGCATTGTCAAGACGTTCGTTGTTTGATTCATGCCGATCAGCCATATCTTGGAGACTACTTTGGGAAAGGAAAGTCTCGAATTGCTTCAAACCCCTTTCTTGTGCTGGTGGGGAGGGTAAGGACGTGCCTGAAGCGTCAGGTAAGCATTCGATGTTATAGCTTGAATACACTAACCAAGGTGGTGATACTCAGGAGGAAGCGGCAATGCTTCGCTTGGAGGTATGGCAGCACCACTCTGGCCAGCTTCATCCGATGCCGCATGAGCAAGTCGCCTGTGACGTTTGAGCAGGTCTTTTCTAGCAAACGACAGCCCGCAATCACAGTGATACGGCTTTTCTTTGGTATCTACCAGGTTATATCAGCCATATATCAGCCTTTGCTCTGGATGATATTGTATCCTCTCAGCCATGACATTGATACACCAAGACATTTGAAAAATGTTCACATACGCGTTCGAGTATGTCGTTGTAAATGTTCGAGCTTGCGAAATTGCCGATCACACGTTGCGCATGAGAATGTTTTCGTGGTTGCATCTGCCATCATTGCCGAGTATGCTGTTGGAGAATTGGAGAAAAGTGACGGTTCGTCTCTGGCGCCCTTATTTAGTGCGAGATTAGCTAGCCCCACCTTTCAAGACACCGAGTTTCTCCAACAAGAAGCGGCAATCTTGATCACCGTTCCTGAAGCGATATCCGATTTTCAACTACTATTTCCTTTGGATAGTGCTGGAATGATTGCGACATGTCGCACGCTCGGAGGAAGCCTATACCCGTCAAGCTAGCGTGCAGCTCGTGGTACGTCATGATCCTGACCGAGGAGTGTTAAAACTGGGACACAAGTCACGCTATGTCTACCTGCGATGAACACAATCTACAACTCATGTACTGCCTCTCCTGATCCTGTAGCAGCAGGGCGTCGCGATTGAAATGTAGTGGTACCAACCCTTGCAGTCGCGTAAGCTAAAATTCTGTCCGCCACCCTGCACAGTCCACTAACATAGCTATCGGCAGTGCCTACGTAAGAACGCAACATGCGTGTATTTACCCAATCGACGGGGTCGGAAGACTACATCGAGAGCTGTAAATCTTCCTGAGCCTAGGGATTCATCAATGAATGCTCTTGGCTCATGGGGCGCGTCTGATCCTAGTATGTTCGATTGTCAAATGTCCGACAACATGGGCCCGGAGTATCCTCGAGAGACTTATTATGGCGGGTTACTTCCCCCATTGTTTAGTGGGGATCTAGGCTCCTTCCAGTTCGAGGGAATGTTCGGCGGTAGTACGGACGCGGAACTGGATAGCTTCTTTGCTGAGATGTTCAGGATACCGTCATTTCCACGAGTTGGCTCCTTCGATCCTACTGATTTGGTACTGGGGGAGTCTCAGCCTGTCTATCAACAGCCGTATCACTCCGATGCCCAGATCCTTGGAGCTTATTACAAGCACATACATCCTGTTTTCCCAATCCTGCCTCCACCGATAGAGGAACCGAGAATTGACTCTTCAGAAGAGGATGTCAGCAGTAGTGGCTCGTTTCTCTCACAAACTTCGTCACCTCTGATCCTAGCTCTGTCTTCAGTTCTGTATCAGTCAGATGCATTGAAACCTCCAAGTGTTGTCAACGATGGAAACTTCGTCCAAAATCTATACCAGCGGGCGGCAGACTTGGTCGAACCGTTCTCCCTTTCGTCTCCCCTCTCCCAAGATACAGTCCTCCCATCGGCATTCCATCCGCATGTACCTCAGCGATTGGAACTGCCACTGGCATGTTGTGTTCTTAGCTTGTACCAGTATCTTCGCTGGGGCAATATTGAAGAGATGACGCGTTTGGCACAGAAAGCTCATAGCATAATCAAGGCTATGTCTGTAAATTGGGAGCATGTTGGCGCATTTGTAGAAGCTCAGCGGAGAGCGTGGTGGATGAGTGTGATGTGCGTATACAACGCCAACATCGTTAGCTGTACGGTACGGTATCCACCAAGACACCTTGTACACCGATCTTGACCAAAGCTGACTATGTTGTAGTCACCAGTAAACAAGATTGACATTCGTACCGTCAATATACCGCATCCTACCACCTTGGGTAAATCGGAGATGTGGGCCCAATACGTCTCCGCCGAAGAAACTCTCGTTGCTTCCACTCTCCTTCTAGTAGCATTGGTGAAGGGCAGCGACTCCAAAACCGAGGTGCCAGCTTTCAACCAAAATATTCGCCTACTAGACAAAGTCATCGCCCGCCAACTAGCTGCAATATCCGACACCCCATCATTAATTCACGATGTGTCGTACCGCACAGAAGAGAGACTCGCCATATCCCTACGCGCCATAGCAAAGATACGACTACACAGGTAAATAAAGTTGAGCGCATCCTTTCGTGACACAGCCGCTGATACAAACACAGTGCACGCATAAAACTACACAGATATCGCGCCTTCATGCACCACCCCACCATCCTCCAGAAGTTTTCGCCAACTACAACGACTCGAGGCCATCACCATCGCGTCACTAACACTAAACACCACAGCAACGGTGATATACAGCACGACCACCGTTCCACCTTCTCCTCGTCCTCTTCCTCTGGTATCACCCGCAGCCTCAATCCCCATCACGAAACACTTCCAACCACCCAAATCTTCCCCTTCTCGACCCACCACGCACTGATTACCTGCCTCGACTCGGCCACCACGATCACAGCCTCACTATCCCATCTCGTCTCCCTGGGCACATGCGCAGCTCCACAGATCTGTTCGGCAGCCTTGGGGAGCTACACACTGATGATGATATTCCACTTTGAACACCAACTACCACAATCCCAATCGCAGTCCCAGTTGCATCCGTCCTCGCAATTAGGGCCACGGCCACAGCCACGGTCACAGCCACGATTAGCGACACGGATGATGAGTCCTTCTGGCGTGATGCAGGGTTCTATACAAGCACAATGCGAGGAGAGCGCCGGTACGGCTGTAAAGGTGCTGGAGAGTTTTGCAGGTTGTTTCGAATTCATCGGCGGACTAAGAGATCAGATCAAGAAGGCTGCTCATGCAACGTTTTGCTCCCGTCCATCATAGTGCTGGAAGGCAGGCAGAGTGAGCACGATAAAATAACAGAATAAGAAAGTGTAGTAACTCAGAATGGGACAAGATGATCAAAAGGGCGAAGACGAGACAAGGAAGATTTTACCAACGTGAATGATAAAAAAAAAAGAAGACTACTCAAACTTTTTCCTAACCCTAACTAGACTCCCCGGGTAACTCCAAAAGTTTATGAATGGAGATTGGTTTTCGTTACAACATGAGACTACTCTCTTTGAGCGGGATGTGATAAGAGGTTGCTTAAAAAAACCCCAATCTTACCCCTAAAACGCCGCCCAATGCAAATGACCATGTCCGTCATCCCTCATTCTTCCAAAGCTCGTTGGGGGGTATACAGGTATATAGTACAAGAAAGGGAAAAGAAAAAGGGCGGCTAGAAGACGTCAGACTCCCGTGAGAAAGGCTTAAAAGGGTGAGGCTGGCTCCCTCCTTGGTCGGTCACCACCAAAGCCGCCTCCTCCTCTCCTGTCACCGCCCCTGTCACCACCGAAGCCACCTCCGCCTCTCCGGTCACCTCCGAAACCACCACCTCCTCTCCTATCGCCGCCAAAGCCGCCACGATCACCACCTCGGTTGCCACCAAATCCTCCGCTTCGGCCACTGCGTTCAGCACCGTACGAACTACGGTCGTATCCGCCGCCGCCTCTCCTGTCACCAGCCCTGTCACCACCGAAGCCACCTCCGCCTCCCCTGCCGCCTCCGAATCCGCCACGACCACCGCTACGGCCGCCGCCGCCACGTCCACGGCCTCCCATGTAGAGGCTAGCAGGCGGTGGTGGTGGCGAAGGCATACCCCAACCAAACTCTGCTAGACGGTTCGCACCTTCCAGCAGACCCTGCTTGTCACCGTACCACTGAAAGCTTCCAAAGAGGCCACGGAATGCGGCGTCAAGTTGGTCAGGGTAGACCTTCTTGTGTGCCTCGACAGTGTCAGATAGAATCTTCGCAACGTCCTCAGGCATCTCAGCTGCTTGTGTCATATCAACCGTCGCAGTCTCGAGCGTGTGGGTTCCATCTTGGAGGGGCAGATTGTTGAGACGGCGGCGGACCTCGTGCTTCTCGAAGGGCGTTAGGAAGAGCCAGCCTTCACCTTCCTTTCCGGCACGGCCTGTGCGACCGAGACGGTGAATGTAGGAGTCGCGTTCACGGGGAAGACCAATTTGGATGACGTGAGTGACCTCGGGGAAGTCCATGCCACGAGCTGTTACGTCAGAGGAGAAGAGGATGCCGGACTTTGCGAAGCGGAAATCATCTGCTGCCCTTGTACGTTGCGCTTGGGTGAGCTTGGCGTGGATCTCATAGGCGCGGAGGCCAGACAGAGGGGTATTGCGCTTGAAACCACCACCGAGCTTGTAGAAAACCGATGCTGCCAATGTGACTTCAGCGGTGCTGTTGAAGTAAATAATGGCCTTGAATGGACGGCTTTCGCCAGATTGAGCTTTCTGTTGCGATTGCAGAACGAGCTCGTACAGCGCAGGCATGATGTTCTCGAAACCGGCGAGGTTGACGTATTTCTGCGGGATACGCTGGTGCGTTGGTTCTTCGTTTTCATCCACACACTTTGCGAAGTGGAAGCCGGGTCGCATGGTCGCGCGGACAAGGCCGACAACCTCGCGGGGAATAGTAGCGGAGAACATGAGGTTTTGGCGTTCGACTTCAGCTGGGTCGGGCAGGAAGTTCTTAATCTCGTCAATCTCCTTGGAGAACCCGTCGTCCATCAGGCGATCGGCCTCGTCCATGACCAATGCACTCAATTTGGGGGCCTTGACGCCAGAGTATGGATCTGAAAGGATGTCGAAAAGTCGTCCGGGGGTCGCAATCATTAGGTGGCATCCTTCGCGCTGTGTCTTCTGAAGCATAGCCCTCTTCTGGGTGCCACCGACTGCAACTTGCGTGACGATGCCGGTACCGGCAGTCACCTTCTTAGCCTCGACAGCGATCTGCTCTGCAAGTTCTCGGGTAGGTGAGATGATAATGGCCCGGATGTCATCGGGTTTCGCACGCTTGTATCCTCTGGGCTTCTCGCCGAGCTCGGGGGCGCTCGCAATGATTCGTTGGATGACGGGGACGAGGAAACCGAGCGTTTTACCGGTACCGGTCTTTGCTTGTGCGATGCTGTAATGTGTTAGTATATCGTAAGACGAGGGTCGGCGAAGGGTCTTACATGTCAACCCCGCTCAGGGCTTCGTTGATAGTCCTGGTCTGCACGTCCGTCATAGTCGTGAGCTTCATCTGGTTCGTGATAGTCCTGATGAGGTTGGGATGGACGAGTCCGCGTGTGGCCAATTCCTTGAACTCTGTGACGGGGCCATCTTCCTCGATGCTCTGTTGTTCCTCTTGAGCCTCTTGTTGCCACCTTGTGGCGCTGTTGTGGAAGCCGGCGAACGAGACATTCTGGAGGCGCGCTGATTGCAGTGGTATCCTCAGAACGCTCGAGTTGTGGGTGAGGGGT